GCCTCTAACATCGATGGAGTTTACATGTATGCAACATACATGTATGCTAATCATATCATTAAATGGCTTTTATGGTTTTTTTTCTTTTGCATGGGCATAATAAAATTCTGCACTGACTTTACGACAGAAAAGTTTGTGGCTACACGCTGTAGAAATATTAATTTTCAGCATTCAGATATGAGAGGAAAACTGGTGAGGCGCGATTTCAATCGGTTATGGAAAGAAATCTTGTTTTCCTTTTATTTGAGGCTAATTTCTATATTTTGAATTCACCTAACTTTGACCTTCCGGCAGCCCTGGAAGGAAAGGTCAAACAACTTCGACTTCCGGATGATGACGCCATCACACTGTTTTTGTGTCTGGCATTCCTCACTAAAAACTTTTATAATATATGTGTCTGTAGTAAAATGCTTCCGCTTTTGAGCTATATTCAGTTTTTATTGCACTTCCGGAAGTAAAGGTCAAGCGGTTTTGTGTCCGGGGACAAGAAATGTTTCTCACGGCATAGTCTACAACCTCACGGAAAAACGAACACGATACTCTATTTAGTTCAAAAGATATAGCGCAAACTATTTTGTAAGAATTTGCCGTTAAATCGCTTGTAATTTGATACCTGATGACGTCATGATGACGTAACAAAATGTATAACATCTTCGCATTATGTTACAAGTTCACACTAGGTTTCTGGATCATACCGTAAACTGTTTTGAAGAAATTCTGCTTTGATTTGATTTCAGGCTAAAGTGTTCATTTTGAATTCACGTAACTTTGACCTTCCGGTAGACCCGGAAGTAAAGGTCAAGCGAGTTCACGTACACGACAACAAATGTTTATCAGTTCATGGTCTATCCGATTACAGAATCCAACACTATTGATTATTTTGTGCAAGAGTTATAGGTGAAAGTAATTGGTCACTTTTTCAGCTAAAATCGCTTGTAATTTGACACCCGATGATGTCATCATGACGTCAGAGTAATATGCACCACCAGGCATGAGGGTCGATGTATATTGAAAGTTACAAGTTCATATCATGAACCGTTTAGGAGAAAAGCCGCGGAGAAGTATTGTCCGAAAAAAGAGAAAGAAGATTTATCAGAACAATAACAGAGAGTAGTCGGGTTGTGCCCGACCACTCAAAAAGATATTAATATTCTTAGAACTACACTTTGAGAACATAATGAATTATACAAGTGTAATAACAGTAGGGTTGTGTATACATGTACACTTACATGTACATCTTCATCAAACGTTTCTAGGAGTCTCCTGTTTTCTTTCACAGCTTTGCTCTGAATACTAATTCTTTGAGGAAAATATTAAGAATATTAACCCTTCTATTTTCCATATTACTTGTAACTTTTGTTGACCTCAATTGATAATCGGTATTTTGGTTATTTCTGTCGGTATCTTGATGTCTTTGGAAGGAGTTATTCTAAGAGCGAGGTTTTTTTTGTCAAGGAGCCATTATACATGTATTTTAGCTTTGCATGGGTGAACACAAAGAGATACGCATCTTTGTGCGACTGTCCAACATATTATTCCCTTCGAACCTTTCCTGCTCTTCCCTTGACCTCCAAATCACTGTTAGAAAAACGGTTTGGGCAACAATTGTTCATCTTGTATTTAGTGTTTCTTACAGCCTAATCTACTATTATTTTAGTGGAGAGTTCTTTTGAGCAGTGCACTAGCTATTTTTAACAGCTAATGCTGAGTCCAATGCGATTGATATACAGTACGCTGGAGATCTCTCTCGTGTGATGATTGAGACACTACACGTATTGACACATACCGGTGCATGTTTTGCTATACTCTCTAGGACAATGCTTTGTGTTTCCTTTGTCCCTGTTATATATAACACTCTCCCATAGGCTAAGTACACAAACCTACCACAGAGGACCGTTTAAAAAAAGACCCAACTCCCGAGGACTGAAAGGATCTGTTGTTCTCCCTTTGTGTGTCGGTCCTCGGGGGTTATGTAGAACACGTACATGTATTCTTACATTTATTTATTGGACTTGTTTGGTTATTTTCCACAGATCGCAACCTGTCCTAAGGCAACTCAGAAACTTTTTCATTGATCTGTTTTGGTGTACAGAACAACAAACACTTACATTCACATCAATTCTTTCCTGGGAACAGGTCATCACATTGTACTTGGACACATAATAGCCCAACTTATACAAAGGGAACATCTGTAACCCTAGTTGCTATCCGAAAATACCACATTACTTCTAGTTTATCACACACTGTGACTGGAAACCCATGCATGAGTGCCGCTCAGCCAGGCTTCATGTTACATACTTGTCCAAGACTCATAATCACTAATGACATTTGAGTACATACCGGTAGTGTTAAAGATAGAGAAGACCATTTTTGTGCAAAAGTGTGTCACTTTCCACATCTTTGGAAATGACCTTCTATTGTTGTTTGTTTATTTCAAAATGACAGCATGCCAGAAGGAATAAATTCACAGGGAGTTTTACTAGTGTCATTACTATCTTTAAACCAAGTAAAAATTGTTACAACGATTTGTTCAGTGACTTTGGACACTACCTTTAACGCAAACTACTTAGGTTTTGCGGTGTCTGTTATACAAATGTGTCTGTGCCAAATGGAGCATTTTAAATTATGGCGGTTGGTTCCTAGCCATATGGGCCTTGGCAGTTATGAGCCGGAATGATCCCAGCCTTTTGCATAAACCTTCAAGTTGCAAGATAGTAATTGTGTTGTGCTTTATTAATATTGCCTTTTTTACATTGTTTCAGCAATGCAAAGGGATAGTCTGTACAAATCAGCCATCGGTAATGTTTTGTAAGATAATAATAGAATTATTTTGTATTCTTTTGTATGTAACTGTATCCATGCGTTGGAAAATTTGAATAAAATGCCTAGTCCATCTGTCTTGAAATAAAGAGTGTTCTTGATATTATTATAACAGTACAGTAAGGAAAAGCAAAATGATGCCCCCTACTTTTTACAGAAGGCTGAACGTGTAAAATGTGTCGCATTTGAAAACTTGATTTTATGCTAGATTTTATTCATACAGATGCGAGTAAATGTTAAAAATTTGTAGTAAAAGCAAATGCCAGTTTTTATGCATATGACCTATGGTTATTTATTATTCATTTATACTTTTCTTTAATACTCTTTTTCAAGTTTTTAATAGATTATTAATAAATGTAGTAATTATTGTGCAGAATTATTTGCGTTATAATTTAATGGTAGCCCCAACCCAGCCTTGAAAAATAACAAGTGTATATTGCTCCATCCACTGTTGCTCCATGCACTGTAGCTCGCAAGCCTGAAGAAACACGCATGTAGAGAGAAGACAATGAGGAAAAATTATTACAGTCTTAGAGGTGGGAGGAAAACCCCAGAAGAATATTCTGGGGAAAACCCACGGAATCAGGTAGGGACTGAAAACCCAATCCACATGTAGACCAGGGTGCCGATGCACCTATGGTTCAAATATAGACCTTTCTACGCTTCTCCTGATAACTTATTTATTTCCCTTAAAGCCATTTCTCCGGCTTTAAGGGAAATAAATAAATTCTGCTTCGTTTTACACAGGATCCACAATTTAATTGTAATTTGGGTTTTTAAAACGAAATGGAAAATTGACATTGTGAATATAGACCTTGCGAATGACGTCATCAGTCCTAGAGACACATGCACAACATGACCTTACTGAGGTCAAATCGCGCATAGAAGTTTACTGTGGGAATATAGTCAGGTGGCATATAGTCGGAATCGTGACCGACTGGTCCAAAGCACCAAACTTGGCAGATGGATTCTTATAGACCTAGAGAAGATATTTAGAAGGGGTGACACCTGAAATTCTTTTGGGAAGGGTGCCTAATTTGCGTAAATCGTTAATCCCTGCCGTGTAATATATTTATTCCCATATTTGGGTATATTTTTATTTTTTTATTTTTTTTAAAGTGTATTTTGGTGATTCTACTTGCATATTCTTACTTCAATAACATTTTGTAAAGCATGTAAGTGACTGAATAATTAAGAGGACATAGTAATGATCCAAAATGGCTACTATTTTACCCTAAAGTTACGCGCATTTACCTTTTCCTCAGATATCATCAACTAGTCTCGCCAAACGTGGGTATTGATGAGCTTCAAATTCACAAAGGTACTTACTGACATAGTTAACCTAACAAAAATAAGTGGGAAATCATGTGAAAATTGATATCATCTTGATGTTTGGCCCAAAAGACCAAAAAAGGGGAGAAAATGTGGTGTCCGTAAATTGGGCTACTACGGGAAGGGTAACGTGGGGACTTGAACAAGTTCAACAAAATCCCCCCAAATTACAGATTATTGTTGTTTACAATAATTTTGTCTACGCCAAAACGTTTTCTCAACAATAATTTTGGGAATTTCCTTGAACTTGTTCCAGTCTTTCATGTTAGGCAACCCTTCACCTTACTTGTTAGCCCAATTTATGGACACCTCTTTTTTCCCCAGTTTTTGTTTTCTGGGCTTAATAACACAATGTTCTCATTGTTCACATGATTTTGCATAAGGTTTCAATAGGGTAACTGTACCAGTAAACTACGTGGTGAATTGGAAGTTCATCAATGCTGATGTTTGGCAAGACTAATTGATGATATCTGGGGACAAGGTAAAGGCGCGCAATTTAGGGCATAATAGTAGCCATTTTGGATCGTTACTATGTCCTCATAATTATTCAGTCACTTATATGCTTTTGAAAAAGTTATTTAAGTAAAGATATGTAATTAGAATCCCCAAAATACACTTTTCAAAAAAATTAAAAAAAATAAAATATACCCAAATATGGGAATAAATATATTACACGGCAGGGATTAAGGATTTATGCAAATAAGGCACCCTTCCCAAAAGAATTTCGGGTGTCACCCCTTCTAAATATCTTCTCTAGGTCTATAAGAATCTATCTACCAAGTTTGGTGCTTTGGACCAGTCGGTCACGATCTTGACGAAAATTAGATCTAAGCCACCTGACTAATAGGCGAAAAATTGAAGAGAACAGTTTTCTTTGGCAGAATATTTTGGGGTGACCTTTTTTTCCCCCACTTATCCCTGCAGGACTCTAACGACATTAGTAATCTACTGCATAAGCATCATTACCTAAATGAAACATAATTACAGTGCGTTCATTGACATGTGTACACCTACACCAAATTCATATTGTAACTTTTACAACAACGAGGTTTTGAACCAAAATATTTTTGGGCACTGTCGAAATACCCAATGGATTGAAACAGTGCCGTGGACAAAATTGCCTTTGGCGAACAAAAAAGGTTGTTCACTGTTTTCTCCAGAAGTCAAATATCCCGAGTTGAAACGTCAACAGGTTAGGTTTTGAGCCTAGTTTGGGTTTTGAGTGGTGCTGTTATTATCCTATTGTGCCTTTAAAATACACACAGTCCCCGAGTAGCTTACAAATCCGGATGCTTCATTTTATCAGCACCGATGGTTTACCAGACTATCGGCTTCCGTTAGGGCTTCTAGCCATGCGAAGACGGAGATAGTCCACTAGAAGTAACAGCATGCAGGCGAGCATGGCCGAACTGTATAGGAAGAAGGTGCCATGGAAACTGCCAGTCACGTGATGAAGCCAACCTGCGTGATGCAAGCAATACCATTTTTTTTTTCAAAAGAGATTTATATAATAATACATGTATGTGCGTTTATAAAGTGCATGTACATGTATCACGAGCATTGGCGCTGAAGGCCCTACATCACAATATCATGCTCATTTGTTGGGACAATGAAACATTCCAAAGACAATCTCAGCTCCCTGAAGAGTATACATGTACAGCTCGATGCTGCCATTTCGGCTCAAAGCAGGTAAAATATTAAGTTTTGGGCAACAGTAATTCTGGATTTGCTTATTCACAAACCTGATGTGACGTCTCCAATGGAGGTCGAAACTCCAGAAAGGAAGCTCATCCAGCCCAGGACTATGACGTACCTCTCATCTGGGAAGGGAAGGAACCGCTCCATGACCGAAACAACTTCGACCACAATATGCAAACCGAATCCAATCGCAAATGAATTCACCATCTGAAGCACGAATAGTTGGATGAAGGCAGCTTGGGCAAGTGACATCGCCGTCACGCAGCCAGCTATAGCTGCTGTGACATGAAGCGATAACGCCTTGGTATGCAACATCAGGGTACCTATAGACAGCCCAGCTAAGCTCCCCGCACCGAAGGCTGTTGTAAGGAACGAAGCCTGGCTCGTACCAAGTCCAAGTGCCTGGCCGTTAGGTACCAGATAAACCATTACTCCACCGTAGCTGACGTTGTAAAGCATCCGCAAACAAGCCAACAGAATGAATCTACAATTGATCAGGATGTCAAGACCAAGTGACGTCGCAAGCCACTGACCGAAACGGTTGTCAGTTCCTTCCGATGGTCGTGCATCTGGACCGGTTTCTTCAGATGTGCCTGGAATTGCTGCATAGACTCCTTTCGGTCTTCTCACCAGCATACCAGCCAAAATAAGATGGAACCCCACGTCACTCATTAGGAGCATGGTTCCTCGCCAGCCGTACGTTTCCAGCAAGACCTGGGTGGCTGGTCCGTACAGTATCATGCCGACTGGAGCTCCACACAAAGCGACAAAACTAGCGAGGGCAAACCTCTCGTGGAAGTAGAAGGCGAGTTCTGCACGTGTCGGCGATAGAATACATGCTGAACCTGAACCTGTATGGAAAAGCAGAACGTTACAAACTTAAGCAACGCATCGTAATGAAGTGACTGACCATTTGACAAGGCAGCACACATTCTGAGCGCATTACCCGAGGCATATGCTCAAAAGATTTTAAAAAAATTATCATATTCCACACGTTCCTCATTCGAATATAGCCAATAACATCGTCAGTGACTGAGAACCTCAGCGTGAGTAAAAAAAACCCGAAACCCAAATGTCGGGACGATTATTTGAGTGAAGTTCTGCATGTAGCACTTTCACAATATAGGATATGAAGGCCAAATTCATAAGCTTTCTTATAGTACAAGAATCATTCAAATCACTCATGTACTTGTCAAGTTACGGAATTGTATGTGCGTTCTTTCAGCAAAACGAAAGCAAATCACATAGGGATGCGTGTGAATTATTTCGTTTGCTGAAAGAACGCACATGCACCTTTTTTGTGATTCGTGGACAGAACCTTAAAACTCACCCTGTATTCAACCGAAAAAACTTAGCCAAACCCCAGCCCTCTGATAAGATCGTGACTACTTGCCGCAGTGATTAAACCAATCATCAGATCAAGACTAGTCAGCAAGCTCAAGAGACGGCTGTTTACAGTCGTCTGGCGTCTATACTACCTAATTTTGATGGACAGAAAATAGCTGAAGATTTTTGGACCCTATATTCAAACGTGTACCGTAGTTTAGATTGCAACCGTGTGATCGTGGGTAAAAGAAAATTATAGGCGCAATATTATAAGGATGCAAAAACACCTCTGGTTTTCACATTCTCGCGACCGCTTTGATGATGATTCTTCATACTTTCTTTAAGACAAGATAAGTTTGCGGTGACACCATGTGAATAAATCTCTGTATGTGTGGTTCCGAAAAGAACCGGATACTTTTTTTTGTTATCCCGAGTACAAGTTTATCTTGTGATACATTTTCTTCATCTTAAAATAATGGTTTTTTAGTCCTATTCACTCACCAGAAATGAGTATGATGGATATTGCTAAACCACCCACGTTGGAAGTTGTCATGGAGATCAGCAAGCCAATTCCGTACAGGAGGCCGCCGAAGATAATGACGACCCGGCTGCCAACTTTCCGCGCCACGGACGATGCCACAGGTGCTTAGGGAGGGAACAAACGGACGTGCTTCATCAGGCATGTTAACTGCACTTTGGGAGAATTTTCTAACGAACTGTGGTGTAGCGCATGTATGCGGCTGTTTCCATAACCAATGTAAATTCAATTTTGGTTTAAACACAAGATCATCCTTATACTCCAGCAATATCAGCAATTAATGAAATTATAATTGTGCAGTTCATGTTTGTTTAATTCGTGTATGGTATCATATAATAATCATGCTTAACTTTAATAATTATTATTTTTCGCCTACATACTCACTTCACAGTCAATTCCCCGTATGCACATTGCTTTAACTTAAACACGGACATCCCTTAATACAACTCCCACCTTTGATATTTGGTCCTTCCCCTACCCCATCCCCTCTCTTCATCCTCTGTGACCTTCACCCTCTGCTCATCTTTTGGTCTTAGATCCTTCCCCTCCGAGTCATCCCTTCTTTGTGTTTCTCCTTCCACCAGCACCAATCATGTGCCCTCTACTTGTCCTGCCAGCACCGAAATGTTAGGCCTCTAACTCTTTTTCGATACAAAACCACTGAATTCCAATTTTGATTATGAAATACAAATGATTGCTTACTCAATACAAACTGTACAGCAAAGTGCAGTGAATCGATGGAGCCGATCACCCACAAATCTGTTTGGAAATCGTCCTTCATAGCAATGATGAGAACACCTAAGCCCTTCAGGCTACCGTAGATGATGACCTCCGCCAAAAAGGCAGACAGTACGACAAACCAACCCCACCCTCCTTCTCGGTACATCTGAGTCTGTGCCATGACGTCCGGTAGGTGATTGGAACTCAAAGTTTGGCTAGATGCCACTCTAACAAACAGTTCCCGTTCAAAACGTTTCATTGTCATAGGCTTGTTTGCGGTTAGACTATGCATCCCGGCGCATTCAATCATTGCCCGTGCGATACAATGAACTCATTGATAAGGATCGTCGTTCACCTTGAAGTCACAATGTGTCAGTACTGGGGTTGACTCCAGGCTATTAATTATAACGGCAGGTCATCCGTTGCGTTACCTTTACCATACGTAGCCTTGACAAGAAGTCACTATATGTTTGGTCTGCTGGCGTCCCAATATCTACTAGCACAGCACTGTGTATATTAATGTTATCGAAACACAAATCTTGTTAAAGATCGAAACGTCAGGCCGCCTTAAATTTTCCCTTAATTTAAACGAGCGAAAAACCACTCTATTTTAAGACACCACTTTCCGAGTGTTTTTTTTTCGAGTCTTTTTGCCATATTAATATTTACCCCACAGTTACCCCAATCAGCACCCACATGGCTGAATGGAATAGACCTAACCATGAATATCCATTGAACAGTAACTTGCACAGAGGAGAAAAGCCATACGCTCAGTCAATTTCTGACACTGTATGCAGTCATTGTATGCAGTCACTGAAGTTGAATATTTCAGAAACAGTTGTGTTCAAAACCATTGGCGTATATGGAGTACATGTATACTCGTCCTACATATGCGTATCGAGGGGCGGGGCGGGGCGGGGGGGGGGGCGGGGCGTTGTTTTGTTCGGTTCGTTGTTTTTTTTTTTTTAATTCAGAAAGCGACATAACCTCACAGCCTCATTACCCTTCCTATGGGCGTGGCGAAAGTGCAGGAGGCGTTACAACGCTGATAAACATTTCATCTTAAATAAGCAACCTAGTTTAATACGTCGGCAGAATCGCGCCTCACTTATGTCGCAACAAATGGCTTTGAACAGCGCCCTCAATAAAAGTGCCCCTCCCTAATTTTGATTTCTTTTTAACAATTTTGCCCCCACCAAGTCGTGGGGGGGGGGGGGGGACCCAGAAGCTACTTCAGCAGTTGTGTACAAAGTCTAGGCCTATTGAGAGTCCAGAATGTACATTTCCTCACAAAGTTTGTTAGCCCCGGATTATGTCTTTTCTACATTTTTGCAATGACTGACCTTCATTCTATCCAAATCGTGGATAGGCTACTGTTTCAAACATACACAAAAACCCACAGAGTTGAACTAAAACTTGAAGATTTGTGCCACCAGCAAAATGATTAACCGCCACACAAATAGTCCACGTTGTTTAAATCTACGAAAAAGTATTCATTGTCCGGCTACGTATAATCATAATCCAGATGTACAGAGTGCGTATGGATTCTGCGAATGACGTCATCACTTCTGTTGCCCTTTCATACATACATGTATATGAGGCGGGAAATTCGATACAGAAAGTACGTGTGGAAGCATTCTGATACGGGAACGGACAGTATGAAAGTTCTTCACTTGACACCAAACTCGTTCCAACATGATACCTCTCATAACCTCTAACTTGTAAGTACTGACGCATGATACATCTCACATTGCTCTGGGAGTGATTTTGAGGGTGAATGTTGCGGGACATGTAGGGATTTTCGTACCTTTTTAGGTATCGAAGTTGTCTTGTTTACTGAATGCGTATACAAAAATGTATATCGTGTGTGGGTTAATCAGCACATATGTATACATGTACATGCAGAAGCTTGTGGCTAGCGAAGCGTGATGTAGCGTACAGTACAACGTTATACCCTAGCCCCATAAATGTGGCCAATTTACTGGACTACCTCCGTAAACATAGGCCACACGTCCACCATGTACAAAAACATGTCGCACTTTGTCAAATTTTGATTTTCACATTTAGGCTTAGTTAATAGGGTTTTTTTGCTTTAGAAGCATACTCACCCTCTTTAAAAGCTAATCAGAAAGTGCTGCCTTTTTCAGATGTCTATTTTTCGTGAAATTTCAAGATTCGTTTGCACACGTTTTCGTATCAAAATTTCAACATGAAATTTCACAAAAATTAAACATCTGAAAAAGGCAGCACTTTCTGATTAGCCTATATTGAGGGTGAGAATGCTTCTAAAGCAAAAAAAACCTACAAGTAAGCCTAAATGTGAAAATCAAAATTTGGCAAAGTGCGACACGTTTTTGTACATGTGGATGTGTGGCCTATGTTTACGGAGGCAGTCCAGTAAATAGGCCACATTTATGGGGCTATCTTGTTTACTGAATGCGTATACAAAAATGTAAATCGTGTGTGGGTTAATCAGTACATATGTATACATGCAGAAGCTTGTGGCTAGCGAAGCGTGATGTAGCGTACAGTACAACGTTAATTAGCCCAGGCTGGACGACTGACGTCCAGGATGAGAATTCTCTACGTAATACCACCCAAAATTTTGACCAGATTTTTGTTACGTTTTATTTCATTACAAAAGCTTATTTCACACCTACATTTTCCATGTGTCCTTATCTATTGGGCCGGGGGGTTCAGGAATTCCATATGTGATGCTAACCGACGTTAATCAGGAAAATAAAATCTAAACCAACGTTAAACTTGTACCTTTTTGTATTCTCTTTTAATCAGTTTATCACCGAGTCGTACGATAACGTACGTGCGTACGTTAAGCGCGCACGCACGCTGGCGCCCTCCTTTGTTTAGTTTTGGTTGGAACAGTGACGTCACGAAAACGCTCAACCAATGACCAAAGCTGAAACGTGTTTCTGGTAACTGGCGCGAAAACACGCTCGGTCATTGGATAAGCGACCGCGCCTTCAAGTTAATGCGCATGCGCATGAGGGCGGTTGCTAAGCAAATCGCACGTGCGCACTGCGCGTTCACGTTGCACGAACTCGGTCATGTACGTACGTGTGAGAAACTGATGAAACGAGTCTACAAAAAGTACAAGTTTAACGTTGCTTTAGAGTTTATTTTCGTGATTAACGTCGGTCAGCATCGCATATGGAATTCTTGAACCCAGCGGCCCAATAGATAAAGAATATAGAATACTACGACGTAAAAATTGGCTTCTCCGTCAAGGTACAAATATTGAAAATATTGGTCATAAAGTTTTTCGCCTGGTTTTGAGCACTTCATATTCTGGACTCCCTCCGTAACGTAGGGAGGAAAGGGAGTCCACCATGGGCTAAGTACAACGTATATTACATGTACTAGCTAGCCTCGCTATGTGTGTGTGTGTGTGCTGTGAAAGTCCAATACAGATACGTACTAAACGGTGCCAGTGCCTGTGGCTTTTTGTTTCGAGGCACGTGACTGCGCAATGCCGGTGTCACATGAAAATCGGACTCGTATGGAAATCGGACTCTTTTCCCCTTTTATTGGTTAAACCCTCTCACGTGACCGCTCCCTCTCCTAATTATGTATGCATGGGCATGCGCAAAACTACCAATGAGTCCGTATTTCATAAAACCTAAATTCATGCTACACCGGAACATTTGCATATCCACAGCACGTACACGTATACGTGTGACAGTGACGTCATACGGAAATGTACCAATACCCGACACGTGAATTTTTCTTGATTTCCAAACCTCATAATTATAATTCCCCTATGATGTAGTAAATACAAGTAAATGTGCATAAACAGTTCAGATATCCCCCAACTAAACAAAGAATTTTTTTTTTACAAAGTAACCATTATTTCAAACACCGGGCTAAAAATCGCACAAAACGTCTTACATCTATGAATCTACATCTAAGACACTATATAAGAGACAAAGAGTATCATTTGCTTTTCGTGCATTTTGTTTGTTTCCAATAATAACACCTCTCCAAACCCAAAGAAGAATGTTCAAAACCTGTAATCTGTTGAAGCTTCAGCTACATTTTAAACTTCTCGGAAAGAAAAACGGTGGGAAAAAAAAACACATGTACAACCTTTTGATCACGAACACGATTTCGTCAATTGCACATCAATTATTTCCCAAAGTCAGTCAGTCGACAGCTTTGAAATCACCTTCATTTCGTGATTTCTTCTCAATGACAGCAATCCAGGCGGAATGTCACTGGGCTGTAAATTAATACCAGTACGATCTAATCCAAGTAAGATTTTTGATAATAATTTTGGGTAGGTTTCCTTTAATTTCAAATGATCCAATATGCCTTTAGGTTTTGCTGAGACGTATTTAAAGCGATGATTCTATCGAATTCGAGCAAAAGGTATATCTACGACATCAGATCGACTACATAATTAATGCAAACCAACTAATTGGGAATCCACAGAAAATCAGCTAGGTGCCAAGACTGCTGTTACAATATTAACGAAATTACTGTCTGATGCAAAGTTTGCGAAAAGAAACTTAAATTAGCGGGGAAGACAATTTAGTACTCAAGATTACCCGGATTAGAACTTTACACTTGCCACGTGCTAGTCTTGGTAGAAGACTGGATTTTATTAATGTTCGTTTACGTACAGGCCGCCTAGATAGCGCGCTATGCAGCCGAACGTACATCAACGTAGAGGGCGCTATCGACAATCCAATTCTTGGATCAAGCCTAGCCACGCGCCAGAGATCGGCAACAAAATTCAAATGCTATCCTTGAACCCAGACTCTTATGCGCAGGTGAGAGTTAGATAGCGCAGTACAGTGTTTGGTCTCCGGCTGGCTTGTTGTCCCCACTCTGGCTTATTGTCGAGATCACAGCGATGGGTTTGGTGCATGTCGACGGAACACCAGAGAACATGTTGTCCATGCATAGGGAAAACTTGTCAGTCACGATTTTCCCGTGAAGCCAGTGGGTGTTTTCACTCTGCGTACAGAAACGAAATGGCTCCTGTGGGTCCTCTGAAAGGAAGTCAAAAAAAATTATAAGCATGAAAAGAAAAAAGCATTGTTAAATTAAAAACCTCCAGTCAATGAATGTTCAACACGAGACGGGGAGGTTTTTTTTTTTTTTTTTTTTTTTTTTACTGAGGGCGCTATGTAGCCAGTCCTCTTTGTTCCTACCAGGCTCACTGTCTGACTATCAGTTGTGAGCTGGGCAGTTCTATCGTATATGATAACCTCGTAACGCCAGTGAATTGCCTAACGGCACAGTGGGTAGAGCAGCATGAAGCCATTCAGAATCAACTGAATAGAATTGTGTGCGCTTGGGATCAGCTTTTATAGCTAGTTTCCCCCCCCCCTTTTTTAAGAAACTTGATTGTTTAAATTCTGCCATAAAACTCCTCTTGCTACGTGCGCTCATTCGTGGTTGTACTCTGATGTACTGTAAATAATAGGTAAATATCTGTGTCAAAGTTTCAAACAAAAGTCAAGCAGACAACCTGGTACAACCAGGTGTAGTCACTTATTGTACCCATGCGTAATTTGGATTCAGTAATTTGGAATTATTTAAGCTATGGCAGGACTTTCTACATGTCACTTGCTGGTCGGTCGGTCCGTCTGTCTGTCTGTCTGTCTAAAAGTATGGTGTTCCATGTATGTGCCATCGGCGTTGCATTTTTCGGCGTCGCATTTTGACAGGGATCGTTTTGGTCGATTTCATGCAAGACTTTCATGCAAGACCCTGCAACACGGCCAGAGCTTATATTGTGCACTCGCACTTGTTTCCATGTTCATATCTTTCAAAGTATAGTCGTATTCGAAGGCATCCTAACAGTCGTTCTTGTCTATATTACCAGTTATATCTCCAATAGAAGTTCGATTGTTTATTTCTTTGTTTAAATTTAAAAACGGTTTACACAAAACGAGAAAAGCAGACTGAAGGTTTAAAACGCATTTTGTTGGTGTATTCCCTGGCCTTTTTTTTTTTTTATCTCTGTTACTCTCCAATATTATTGATTGCGGTGGAAACGTTTGCAAACAAAGCATGTATGTGCAGTGGTGAAATTTGTGCAATATGTCCGTTTTGTGCTTCCGTAGTTTATAACGCGGACAGAGGTTACCTGTTTGAACTCTGAACTTGAATCAATAATAGTGAACTAAAAATAGCAACTGGTTTTTCCTATGATGAGTAAATTTTAATGGAGCGAGGTACTTATACTAGTACGCATTCAGTTGTTGCACAATACACAGCGTAGGAATGGGTGTATACCTACATGTACATTGAACTTGAATAAACACTAAGGACTTATAAGCCGTTGTTGTACCATTCATCGCTTGAGGAAGTAAAGGCCTGTAGGCTACATGTGTAAGGCTTACGAGTAGATGATAGTTTTGCCTGTCCCATTTCCGGCTATTGTGGTTGAACACGTCGGCTAACCGGTGATCCAGTTAAGGTGAGTGAATTATAGAATTTCAACTGGAATTTAAATGATTCTTTGCTTCTTTGTTTCACTTTGTTTTTGAACATGTTAAATATAGGCCTACCAGGAAAAACATGTATGAGATTCGCACGAACGTTTAGCCTTTCAGTGAATGTGGGGGAAAAATACCGAATGAATTCTCTTTTCTGAATTGAAGTCTGAGTCTATTTCGCCGCAGTCCTGTTTTTTTTAATACTCCCGTTTATTGGTTTTGCATATCAAAGTCAGGCCATATATCCGAGTATTGAAAAACAGTAAATGGCCGCTGCTAACGTTGATCTCCCGATGAGCTCTAATGTAAAAATACCTCAAAATTCTCTTTGTTTGGACATCAGCAGTTTCTTAATAACAGCGTGTTTTTAATGTTGTCAGTGTTAAACATCTCCTGTTACATTTAGATCTCAGCCTGGTGTGCCAAAACAAAAGATGGTTCCAGCAATCCCCTGTTATGAATATTAACTTTTTGAGACGCGGAGGTTTTGTTCTGTTTTGATTAGGTTTGAAACATGGCGGAGGCTGCAGCCAAAACTGTGTTGGACAAGATCAGCCAGGGGCATCTGGAATGTCCGATCTGTTGCTGTCTTTTCAAGGATCCCAAGATCTTGGACTGTTTGCACAGCTTCTGCCTCATGTGTCTGGAAGAGATGATCAAATCGAGACAGAGAAAGACAAGTCAAATACAGCAGAAGATAACATGTCCAGTCTGCAGGAGAGACACGCAAGTTCCCTATGGAAGATTGAAGAGTCTCTCTTCTTCTTTCTTTCTTAGTTCACTTGTCGATGAGGTCAAACAACAGCAGGCTGTATTAAGAGAAGCATCGGCACGTACCGCCACATGTGACTGCGGAGAAGGCAAGGAGGCCACTTGGAGGTGTCTTGATTGTAGTGATAACCTCTGCCAAGAATGCCGGAAAGCCCACGGGAGGGTCAAGTCCACCAAGAACCATCAAATCATTTCATTGGGCGATTGGCGGAAATCAAAGCTCCCGCCAGCAAAACATAGAAAACCCATCACCCGAATGTGTAAGAAACACATTGACAATCCTCTGTGTTTTTACTGTGATAAGTGCGACACCTTAATCTGCTCAATGTGTGCCGCACTAGATCATCGATCGAAAAAGCACAAATACCTAAAGATTGCTGACTCTGTTCGGTTCTTCCGCAGCGAGGTTGATAGCACACTGAAGAAGTTCAAGAAGTGCGAACAGCGTTTCAATTATACTGTGAACTCAATCGAACATGCACGAAACAGACTGCAAAAGAAACTTGCTCAGGCTCGTAGTGATATATCTGCCCAAGAAGAGGCAGAGATCGCTAAAATCAGAAACAAAGCAAAGCTTCTCACCGAAAAGGTCGACGAAATCGGTCAGGAGAGAGACAGTGAGTACGAAAAGGCGCTCATGTACAACCGCAACCAGATGAACCGCGCAGGTGAGATAGTCAAGGCAGTAAATGACTTGATGAGTCAAGCCGATGATTTAGAGATTTTAGAGCTTAAACCAAAGGTGATGCACAACTTGGAATTCCAGAAGGAGTTCAAGTTTGAACCGGCGAATCATGGTCCGTCGTTCATCGGGGTCAAATGTCAAGACGTTGTGAGTGATGCAGACCTTGGGGAGGTCTGTGTTAGCGAGAAATGGCAGTTAAAGGAAGAGTTCGGCAAAAGGGGTACCGGTGACGAGGAGTTCAAATTCGCCAGGGGTGTTGCATGTTTCAGCAACGGTGACATCGCAGTAACAGATACAGAACTTGGTCGGTTATCGTTGTTTACCTCCACTGGGCGGTATAAAACATCGATAGCTCAGGGAGATGGTTGTCGTCTGTTGAAGGCTCCTGATGGCGTTGCCGTGACCCATGATGACCTGCTTTTCGTTACGGACAAAAAGAAAGTGGAAGCTTTGAACGATGAGTTACAGTTTGTTAGCGATTTTATGTATGTGGGATCCATGATCGGCAATGCTGTCGCTGTGGACACTAAACGAGTAGCAGTGGCTGACGGGGGGAGAATGGTCATCAATATCTACAACTTCAACGGGTCGTTGATTTCAAGCTTCTCAAATGACATGGTTGACAAAGACGTGGCTATAAGCAACCGAGATCGGCTGATCTTCACAAACTTCAAGAAGAAGAGGTTGCTGTGCGTTGACTTTAAGGGCAATGAGGTGTTCAGTGTGGTGCCATTACTGAACGGGGAACCAGCGGAACCGACTGGTGTCCTGTGCGATGGCGATGGAAGTATCTGTGTCGCTGTTCAATCGCGTGTACATGGAGACGATGAAGTACAGAAATACGACTCGAATGGTGCATTCGTAGCAACAGTAGCTCAAGGGTTGTACAATGCGGCAGGAATGGCATTTAATCATGCTGCTGACATCGTTGTAGCAGACGGAGTCTCTGTCAAAATCTTTGAGCGAGTGTAATCTGCTGATCACTAAAGACATGTCTCTACATGTGTTGCCCCAAATCTTAAAACATCTGCAAGCTGTCTGAAACAATCGTGTATTCCCCCCCCCCCCAAAAAAAAAACACCCCGGTTTCTTAGGACTTACCTTTTTTTTTACAATCCTAGAAATCATTTGTTTCTGATCGAGAAATTAAAAAAAAAATTCGTTAAGGCGACCGTACTGGATGGTTTCTCTGTCAGTGCTCGAGACAATAATATTAATCTTTGTTAATGTTTCTTGTTTAATTCCACAAAGGAACATACCTTGTTCCCCTGGGGTAGGTTACATCAAAAGTTTTAAATAATATAGGTTTTCCCGGCCAATTTCACCAAGCTTTCATTCAATTTAACGCCTGGCTCATTCGACTTAAATTGAAATTGTAAGATCACGCAGATCGGCATTCGACAATCAAAAAGAATCATTCAGTTTCACTATCCGAGCATTCTATCGCCTTTTAGCTTCACTCGTCCCTATCAAAGATGCATTCATATTAAAAGTATCGCGTTGTTCATTAAATTTCGTCTAAACCATTGGTAAGGGGTTGATCGGGCATTCGTTTTTATTAATTGGCAAACATATTTCACATTTTGTCAAACATCTTTTAAGACTTCATACGTGTCCGTATTCCTTAGCGTAAATCATATTTGATGACTTCAATCCATAGATGCCTTTCTTTCGTAATTAAAGGGTATATGCAATGAATTTTTCTCAGGGAATCTTATTGTGCAATTCTTTAGTACTGTGACATTTAAGGAAACTACACATTTATGACAAAAATGGTTAATCATACTGCAAAAATGCACTTCTTTAAACATTTCTTCATGCTTTTTCGGACTACGTATGAGCGCACTGTTACTGTGATATTATTTCATGAAGACACTGTTCAGTTGAGGGTTTTTCTTTCAAATTATTCATCCAAAATTTGGTAATTAAAAACATTTGTGGGAAAGGGTTGGTCATTGGCTTAGTGCCATGTACTGACACATCATATAATCACTAAATAAAAGAGATTTATGACAGCAAAATATCCAAAATTCTAGCAACTTTGTTTGCTGAAATAGCCGTGTAACGTTAATCATGCCCGGAATGCCATCACAGGTTTTCTAATGAATAAGAAACTTTGCATTAGCATAAAAACAGAGAAGGCACCAAAAGACCCCTCAAAATGGAAAATGAAACTGGCAAATAAGGTTAAATGTGACACAAAGATGTATTTTCAAGGTTTGCATTGCAAACTTACTTTGCATGGACCCTGTGAATACGGTAAGTGTTCGGTCAGACATGCGCAAGAAAACATTTTAGAAATATCTCAAGAGAAATGTTCCCGATGGTACAACCATTGCCAAACATACGTGTCCCGATGTCTTGCACGTCAAGAAATCGTCAACGTAAAGATGCCCCTTTAATACTCAAACGTTTAAACAAGTAGAAAAGATAAACAGTGAAAAATAAATTATCTTGTCCCTTCAATTAATTAATTCGTAATTACATCTTGTTTCCCTCATAGGGCCTATCAGTTAATTTGTAACATTGTAAATTTTACAGTCGTCAAGTTTTGGGGGAAATGAACCTCGGAGAAAAATAGGAAAATGTATCGATTAAAATTTTACTAATTTAAATGACCAAACGATGAAAGCGATTGCCCATAAATGAATAAGAAACGAAAAGCATGGTTATACGTTATAAGCGCACAGATGTTCGCTAATTTGAATGCATCAACCGTCAAAAGGTTGCAAAGACTTAATTTTAGACTGCTACAAATTAAGTCTTGAATGCACCAAAATAAAATTGGATGCCCGAAAATGAAAACGAACATTCAGAGCAAAATCTTGGCTGCCTAAAAATGAAATTGAACTCCGAACCCAAAACGAAAAAGAAACCCCAATTTGACCACATGTGCAAAACTCATGCAAAATTGAATGTCTGATAATGAAACTGATAAGAACAATTTGGAAATTCGCCTGGAAAACCTATACAATTAAAGTTCAAATCATGACATGAGTTAGCTAAGAGCCTTTTCACTTTACACTCATAGGATTAATATCTTTTAACTTAGCCGACAGAAAAAATGAAATTAATTAGCTTAACAATGCATAATAATTCTACCATTACAAGTCATGAGAAAAATTAATTTGTCTTTTTTAGATAAAATACTGAAATCGCATTCCTATTACAGTTGCATACAGTTTTTTTCTAAAAGAATTATACATGGGACAGGAACATAAAAAAATGCATTTCTATTTCTACCTCGTCCAGACAGTGTGGACAAATGCGTTGGTTAAATTCTAAACCAGACTATCTTCCAGTTTCTACAAGCAGTTTATGAGCTGAGCATCTACATCTAGCCAAATAATGTCTGAATTGAGGATTATTTAAAAATTAAAAATAGGCCTAATAGGGTTCCATTTCATACTCTATTTTAAACGTCTGGTAGGTTCTCAGTTTGTTTGTGGCTGCGCGTTCCTTTATTATCGTAATGTAAGGCCCAAAAAAGTCTCCGGTTTTTGGTATGGAGCTTGCCTCAAAAGTGGTGCGGTGACGCGGGTTTTTTTTTTCCTCCTTTTTTTCCCTTCAAATGTCGGCTGATGACTGCAGATGGTGCCAGACTAAATTTAGTGCAAATGTATGGGAGTCCAGAGAGGCCACATAAAGCTTATTCTAAACCATAACCCAATCTAAAAACACGTTAAAATTGTGCAGCAGCAGGATTCCAGTCAAACCAGTTGGTTTGGCATTTTTGTGACATCATCTTACATTGAAAAAAAAAACTTTTTCATTTTGCCGACGCGCATGGCTACGGCGACGCGCGCGCATACCAGAAACCGGAGACTATTTTTTTTGGCCCAACCCACCAGACCAGTTACAGATAAACGTATTTCGTAACAGTCTTCTTCAAATTTATCACCAAGAACACGCTGATTATTGGGACCACACAACTTCAAAGGAGCATTCCATTTAATCAAGTCAAAGGTGTTTTTTTTAACTTAAGGAACAACGATGACATCCTAATTCCTAACTCAATGTCTTTTGTAAAGGCATTTTACAAAAATAGAATGACTTGTTTTTTTCCGACAACTTAAGCCAGTATTTTATTTCCGCATTGTTCTATGTATGGAGGGAAGCGTCCTAGTTCAGCCAACACGGAATGTTAGCAGAAGAATATTTACATTCAAGATAAATTTATACCAGTTCATTTGAAAAATAATTATCACCTTTCTTCCACGTTATTTCAGAGCCAAAGTTAAAATGGGTTTTAATAAGGAATCAACAATTTTCAAAAGTAATTTAGGATATAACTCATTTCTTTTCTAATTGAATAGGCTGCCTTGTTAGCTTTATTTGCAAGGTTTTTAGTTACTGACTGAAATGAACCTGAGGTTTAAAAAACAATCCCTAAATCCAAATGAAAATTAGCAATATCAATGTACATGTAATAATAATTAAAACAAATAACAGCGTCAATACTTCACAAATTGATATTCGATCGATTGTGGTTTCAACCTTCCAAAATAATGTACGTAATTGGCTACGTCCGCTGGGTTTGTGGGTTTTTTTTGGTGGTTTCTGTGTATTTATCCTGCTTAGAGATCTGATGAGATTATATGCGGACATATAACCTGATTATTAGTTTCTCTGTACTTTTAGTGTGAAATTTTTTTCTGGTTTTTTTTAACATTGACAGGATCAGGAACATGCGTCAATGTTTCATGACAATGACCTTTTTGGGCTATACATGTATCTGGAGTGAAGAGTCAGTCCCTTGTCATATATTGTATAGTTATAAGAAGTTACGTAAAATACTCATTGAGATGTAAATAATAAATTTGAAGAGACATTATCAATTTCAAATTATTAAATGTAAACCGATGCTGCAAAATGTGTCTACCCTCTTGCACGTGTTTTTACAGTGAGGAGGAGCGATGCTTTCTCACTTCAGGATTGAAACAGTCGTTAGAAACACAATGCCCGTTTTGAGTTTCCGTAGTTTCACGCAGAGGGCGGCGCAGCTCGTTTGAACTTTGAACTCCGATCAAGCGCATTGTACGGAGTAGCAGTGCTGAATTACTAGAAACTGGTTTTTCCCGTGGTGAGTAAATGGAGCTGCATGCAGAGAGTGCACTGCTTTGTACCGTACACGGATCAATGATGTACAATGTAGTAGGCATACATCATAACTTGAATAAAGGCATTGCATTTGCTGGATTGCTTTGTGCGACACAAATATCGCCAGGATTTTCCCTGTAATTTCAAGCAGTTGAGCTGAGTGTTGCATTCATCACGCGATAACGGAGGCCTGCAGTGTACATGTACATGTACATGCGATGCTACAACATTTAATGGTAGTTTTACCGTTTCGTATTTAATAGGTGGAATTATCACGTGACATATCTGTGAGAACTGGCGAATCAGTGAAAGTATAGGTGAGTCAATATCGATGCATTCTGTCTAGATTTAACGTCATTTCGTATTTTCTTTTGATGTGCAATAGTTACGAAGACATGAGATTTAATTGAAGGAACGGTCAGCCTTTCAATCGACGTGATGAGGGTGTGACAGGTAATTCTGTCCCCCCTGGTAAATGTGTCCCCCCGGACACATTTACCGGCTCGTGACCCGGTAAATGTGTCCGGGGGGACACTTTTACCTAGGTAAATTTGTCCCCCTCCAGGTACAAATGTCCCCCTGCCCAACGGTGAAAGTGTCCCCCTGGTAAATGTGTCCCCTTGCAGTGTGTACTGAGAGCAGCAGCGTGTTGCACGCGCCAGTACATGCTGCAAGATTTGAGGCAGTGATTATAACGTGTATATATGCGTCTCCCTCTACAATGGAAATTCGTCCAATAGGAAATTTCGTAACGCGCTATGATGGGAACACAGACCAATCCAAGGAGACGTTGTATCATACTATCAATGAGACGAGGGCCATCGCCATGCATCGCCGTTGTGTTGACCTATCGCGGTAGAATCGCGACACCGTACTCCGAATCGAAACATTGTGTTCACGTATCATCTAATAGACTAAATTAAATATTTTTTATATTCATGAAGGGCAGACTAAAAGTCCAAAATGTATACCTTGTAGAGTGAATTCATCAAAACAATAACCTTCCGGGTTTCAAAAGAGGGGGAACAAAAAAAAACTGGGGGACAGAATTACCTGGAGGGGGACAGAATTAACGAGCCAGGGAGGACACTTTTACCTAGGTAATTCTGTCCCCCGGACACTTTTACCGGCGGACAGAATTACCTTCCACAAGGGAGCGCTAGCTGGGCTGCAGGGACGGGACGGATATGCCTATAATAGCTGTCTGGAAACCGGGGGGGGGGGGGATTGAAAGGAAAGAGTGCTGTATGGCGGGCTTATCTGAGGGCGTGTCATCAGCCCCTGAAAAGTTTGAAGATGCGTTCTCCTGAGAATAATTCAGAAACTTTTACTTTCCTTTGTTATTTTCGCCCCATTTTACTAATATCCTAACATTCGGTGCCATCTCTCATCCTCCCCAAGATCCACCACAGGTTGGAGTCTGCAGCTATAACTCCCATCCCCCTCGTTTGATTTACACTTGGACTGCTTCTGAATAAAAACAAACGCCATGGTATTTTTGTTTTGTTTTGGTTAGGATATACTTTTGAAATATGGCGGAGGCTGCAGTCAAATCTGTGTGGACGATCAGCCAGGGGCATCTGGAATGTCCGATCTGTTGCTGTCTTTACAAGGATCCTAAGATGCTAGACTGTCTGCACAGCTTCTGCGGGAAGTGTCTGGAAGAGATGATGAGCAAACAGAAGCCAGGGGCAGAGAAGATAATATGTCCAGTCTGCAGGAGAGAGACGCAAGTTCCCGAGGGAGGGTTGCAGAGTCTCTCTTCATCTTTCTTTCTTAGTTCTCTTGTCGATGAGGTCAAACATCAGGAGGTGGTATTAGGAGAAGCTTCGATACCTACCGCCACATGTGACTGCGGAGAAGGCAAGGAGGCTACTTGGAGGTGTCTTGATTGTAGTGATAACCTCTGTCAGAAATGCCGCAAAGCCCATGGCAGGGTTAAGTACACCAGAGACCATCAAATCATTTCATTGGGAGATTGGCAGGAATCAAAGGTCCCTCCAGCAGAACATAGCAAACCCATCACCCGAATGTGCACGACCCACATCGACCACCCTTTGCATTTCTACTGTGACACCTGCGACATCTTCATCTGCTCAATGTGTGCCGCAATAGATCATCCACCGGCAGAGCACAATGTCCTAAATATTGATGACTCTATCGGGTCCTTCCGCAGTGAGGTTGATAACATACTGCAGAAGTTCGAGAAGTGCAGGCTGCGTTTCAAATCGACAGAAACCTCAATCGAACGTGCACAAAATCGATTGCAAAAGAAACTTGCTGAGGCTCGTAGTGATATTTCTGCTCAAGCAAAGGCAGAGATCGCTAAAATCAAAAACAAAGCAAAGCTTCTGACCGAAAAGGTCGATGAAATCGGTCAGGAGAGAGACAGTGAGTACGAAAAGGCGCTCATGCACAACCGTGACCAGATGGAACGGGCAGATCAGACCATCAGGGCAGTTAATGACTTGATGAGTCAAGCCGATGATTTCGAGCTTTTGGAGCTCAAACCGAAGGTGATGCACAACTTGGCATTCCAGAAAGAGCTCAAGTTTGAACCGGCGAATCATGGACCGTCATTCATCGGTGTCAAATGTCAAGACGTTGTGAGTGATGCAGATCTTGGGGAGGTATGTGTCAGCGAGAAATGGCAGTTAAAGGATGAGTTCGGCGAAGAAGGTACCGGTGACGGGGAATTTCAATTCGCCGCGGGTGTTGCATGTTTCAGAAACGGGGACATCGTAGTAACAGATACAAAACTGGATCGGTTATCGTTGTTTAGCTCCACTGGGCAGTTCAAAGTATCGGTTGCTCAAGGAGCCGATTGTCATGAGTTGGAAGCCCCTTGGGGCGTTGCGGTGACCCAAGATGACCTGCTTTTCATCGCGGACCAAAAGAAAGTGAAGGTATTTGACAATGAGGTAATGTATGTTCGCGAGTTTACACCTTTGGTTGACGATCAGGAAATGTCAGAGAGTGGCCTCACTGGTATTGCTGTGGACGAGCAACGAGTAGCAGCGGCTGACTGTAGGAGAAATGTCATCAGTGTCCACAACTTGGACGGATCGATGATTTCAAGCATCTCAAATAACATGGTTGATTTTGACTTGGCAATTAGCAACACCGATCGGCTGATCTTCACCAACGAAGAGGAGAAGAGGTTGCTGTGCGTTGACTTTCAGGGCAATGCGGTGTTCAACGTAATGACCTTACTGAACGGGACACCAGCGAAACCGACTGGTGTTCTGTGCGATGACGATGGGAGCATCTATGTCGCTGTTGAATACCAGGCAACTGGGGACGATAAAGTGCAGAAATACGACTCTAATGGTGCATTCATAGCAACAGTAGCTCAAGGGTTGTACAATCCGATGCAAATGGCATTCACACCCACTGGCGACGTAGTTGTCGCAGACGTGCACTCTGTTAAGATCTTTGAGCGGATGTGATTTGCCCTACAAGGCACCTCAGAAAATAACCTGTTTTATTTGAACTAGGGCTAATCTACATCCGCTACAGGACGCCTTAAATTCTATTTAATACTCAGATTTACCCAGATGGTAAAACTCGTTCGAAATTGAACTTACTAACGTTAGTGTGGTTTAGTTAATCTCGATTGCCTGACTGCCTATGGCGTACCTCCCAGTAATTAAAAGTCAGAAAGAGAAATCAAATTTAAAACAGTGGAGAAAGAGAAAAAGCGTTGGATGTTTCTCGAAATGTAGCACATTTTATGGTGACAAAATAAATATTTGAAGGTTGAGGGGGCGTAACTTCTTAAAATTCGGCATCCAATTCACAAAAATAGAATTGACCACTGCGGTGTCATAACATATGGTCATCGCTGTAAGGTATTGCTACAAAATAAAAGTAAGTCCATATAAGTCCATAACTTGTATATTTGTTAGTATGAAATGTCTTCAATCTTAATGAAGCGTATTTTGCCAATCTTCATTTTGTTTCAGTACATTGTACATAGAGCACATGTAGCACGAGACATTCTTCGTCTTTTTTTTATTACGACTGTACTGTTTGGATTTAGCTTTATTTTGTTTTACTTTGATTCTTTGCTCAAGATACATTAGTCATTACCTCTTTTGATGATGGTTATCTTATCTTGTTTTTAATGATGAAGCATTCGTTTTCTTGTGAAGGTCTCTTTTTGAGTTCTTTTGAGAAAGGCTGTTAGTTCTGTTTGAAATCACGTTTGGTTATTAGGATAGACTATGCTTTATCTGTTCCTGCTCTATGATCTTATTCAGTAAGGTTAAGAGTTCATTGGATTTTTGATTTTTATATTTTTCCTTTTGCAAATTCTCGACCACGTGCTTTTACATAGGACGTCTCTTGTTCCCATGGTTCACTGGCCCGTACATAAAGTTAGGAGTCAGAAGAGTTGTTTTACGAGGTTCTTATCCATGTATTCGGGGATTAGCGTTTTGCACTCCATCATCAGAGATGTTTATTGCTTAATGAATATTCATTTGATCATGTTCATTATTATGTTTTCTCTTTTCTTTTCGTTTCTAATTTTCGAAATTTTCAATAAAGTGTACTTTAAGATAATTGGATTCACACTGTGTTGGCTTTAGATTTGGTGTTTTTTTTAAATTGGTTTTATATAGTCTATTGGTTTAAAGTTTCTGGTTTTAGATTATTTTGGTTTTACGGTCGTCTTGGTTTGGGTCTTACTTATTTCTGAGTTCAGCCCTAGTTTTGGTTTTGATTTAGTTTATTTATTAATTTATTCCATTTCTTTACCCAGGGTTTGCCCAAACAGTTTAAAACTGGTTTCCATTGGGGCCCTGCATACAATAAATAATGACTACAAACATGTATAATTATTCAATAAATTACAAATACAACAAAATTCGATACAGTGAGATAACACATTATTTGAATAATGCATAGGTGTTAAGCAAATATTATAAATACAATATATTTTAAAACTTTTATAACTACATGTACAGTGTGAATGCTTTACTATAAAGTTGGTTCAGTGAACACGAAAACTTTGGATATATCTTGTAACTTCAAGAAAAGAAAAAAAATATTGCTGCAACTATATTCGCTGATTGCGGGAGGGGCGAAAACCCCGCGATAACCTTTTGGGTGAAAACACGGGGAAATTCCCATCCGGCTCCTTATTATCTTCTTATTATTATGGAAACCAAGTTTGTTAACTCCGTAGATCAGCACATATCTAGATTTGTATAATCAGAGAAGACAGCGGCAAATACACAAATAATTATTTGCAGAAATATTATTACTGACTGAATGTTTTACGTAGTTCAGATTTGAATGAGGCTAGTGAAGTCATGGTTCTCAACTGCACATGTCAAGTCTTAAAGGTTTGTTTTGTAAATAAGGTCATTTTTATTTTGCTTGTTTGAAATCTAGAATGTTCTCTTTTGTCTCTATATTAATTCATTACTCTATATTAATTCTCTTCAAAGATCCTGAGTTTAGTTAAGTTTGGTTATTTTATCCCCATAAAGTGTTTATTCAGTGCGCGTCCCCCCCCCCACACACACACAAAAAGTGTGTTATTTTTCCAGGTTACACATGTTTTGTTAATTGCTTGTATCACGAAACTGACAACCTATCACACAAACTATATGTTTGTGCAATGTCCGTTTTGTGCTTCCGTAGTTAACGCGGACAGACTGTCTGTTTGAACTCTGAACTTAAATCGCTGGTATTGTACATGACGTTGACTTAGCGCCTATATAGTGAGCTAAAAATAGCAACTGGTTTTCCCCATGATGAGTAAAGGACATATGTACGTACTCGGTTGTTGCAGAAACAGGCGCGGCCGACGATGAACATGTACATGGAAACCTACATTGAACTTCAATAAAGTTTATATTATAGTATTCTTCGGCACGGTTTTTCCCGGGTTGTCACATGAGTAAAAGAGTTGAGCTGTTGCACCATTCATCGCTTGATGATGTGTAGACCTACATTGTACATACTGTAAGGCTTACAAGTTGATGGTAGTTTTGCCGATGATTATTCACATTTGGCGGAAATATCAGGCTACATAGGCCTATATTTATTTGAACATTTCGGCGAACTGTAGATCCAGTTCAAGTAGGTGAGTTAATTGAGTAGCAATAATTTTGGCTAATTTAACATGATTCTTTGCTTCTCGTGCGTTTCGTATATGTTAAATATACCATGAAATACATGCATGAGATTCGCATGAACGTTTAGCCTTTCAGTGAATGTAATGAGGGAGGGTACGTCCGCTCCTTCCTGACCAACATCTGAGGTCTTAAGCCCGAGTCTCTATGGCCTCAGTCCTGTTTACTTTACTCCCATTGTAATATTTGGCATATCAAAGTTAGGCCATAAAAATCCGAGTGTTGAACAACAGTAAACGGCCGCTGTTAATTGTTATCTCCCGATGAGTTCTAATGTAAAAATTTACCTCAAAAATCTCCTTGTTTAGAAAATAAGCTGTTTGTTAATTACAGCGTGCAATTCGTGTTGTCAGTGTAAAATATCTCCTGTTCCATTTATATCTAAGCTTGGCGTGCATAAAAGTTGAGATGGTTTGGGGCAATCACCTGTTATATATATTTGAACTTTCTCAAACACAGATGCGTTCTGTTTTGATTAGGTCACATTTGAAATATGGCGGAGGCTGCAGCCAAAACTGTGTGGAAGATCAGCCAGGGGCATCTGGAATGTCCGATCTGTTGCTGTCTTTTCAAGGATCCCAAGATGCTGGACTGTCTACACAGCTTTTGCCTGAAGTGTCTGGAAGAGATGATGAGCAAACAGAAGCCAGGGGCAGAGAAGATAACATGTCCAGTCTGCAGGAGAGAGACGCAAGTTCCTGATGGAGGATTGCAGAGTCTATCTTCATCTTTCTTTCTTAGTTCTCTTGTCGATGAGGTCAAACAACAGGAGGAGGTGTTGGGAGAAGCATCGATACCTACCGCCACATGTGACTGTGGAGAAGGCAAGGAGGTCATTTGGAGGTGTCTTGATTGTAGTGATAACTTCTGTCAAGAATGCCGGAAAGCACACGGGAGGTTCAAGTCAACCAAAGGCCATCAAATCATTTCATTGGGAGATTGGCAGGAATCAAAGATGCCTCCAGCAGAACATATCAAACCCATCACCCGAATGTGTACGACCCACACTGACCATCCTCTGTGTTTGTACTGTGATACTTGCGACACCTTAATTTGCTCAATGTGTGCCGCATTTGATCATCGGTCGGCAGAGCACAATTTCCTAAAGATTGATGACACTATCGGGTCCTTCCGCCTTGACGTTGATATCATACTGCAGAAGTTCGAGAAGTGCAGGCAGCGCTTCAAATCTACTGAAAACTCAATCGAACGTGCACGAAATAGATTGCAAAAGAAACTTGCTCAGGCTCGTAGTGATATTTCTGCTCAAGAAGAGGCAGAGATCGCTAAAATCAGAAAAAAAGCAAAGCTTCTCACCAAAAATGTCGACAAAATCGGTCAGGAGAGAGACAGCGAGTACGAAAAGGTGCTCATGCACAACCGTGACCAGATGGAACGCGCAGATCAGACCATCAGGGCCGTAAAGGACTTGATGAGTCAAGCCGATGATTTCGATCTTTTGGAGCTCAAGCCGAAGGTGATGCATAACTTGGAATTCCATAAGGAGCTCAACTTTAAACCGGCGAATCATGGTCCGTCGTTCATCGGGGTCAAATGTCAAGACGTTGTGAGTGATGCAGATCTTGGTGAGGTCTGTGTCAGTGAGAAATGGCAGTTCAAAGAAGTGTTCGGCGAAGAATGTTTCGGTGACGTGGAATTCCAAGGTGCCAGGGGTGTTGCATGTTTCAGAAACGGGGACATCGTAGTAAAAGATACAGAGCTGGATCGGTTATCGTTGATAAGCTCCACTGGGCAATTCAAAGCATCGGTTCCTCAAGGAGCCGATTGTCATGAGTTGGAAGCCCCTTGGGGCGTTGCGGTGACCGATGATGACCTGCTTTTCGTCACGGACAAAAAGAAAGTGAAAGTTTTTGACATTGAGCTGCAGTTTGTTCGCGAGTTTACACCTTCGGTTGACGATGCAGAGGGGTTATTAGAGAGTAAACTCCGTGGTATTGCTGTGGACAAGCAACGAGTAGCAGTCACTGATATAGGGAGAGGGGTCATTAGTGTCCACAACTTGGACGGATCGTTGATTGCAAGCATCTCAAATAACATGGTTGACGTTGACGATGACTTTGCAATTAGCAACACCGATCGGCTCATTTTCACAAACCACGGGGAGGAGAGGTTGTTGTGCGTTGACTTTAAGGGCAATGCGTTGTTCAACGTAATGACCTTACTGAACGGGGAACAAGCGAGGCCGTCTGGTGTTCTGTGCGATGATGATGGGAGCATCTATGTCAAAGTTGAAACTGATGAATATGAAGGCGATGTTGTGCAGAAATACGACTCTAATGGTGCATTCATAGCAACAGTAGCTCAGGGGTTGTACAGTGCGTTAGGAATTGCGTTTACACCCACTGGTGACGTAGTTGTCGCAGGCAAAATCTCTGTCAAAATTTTTGAGCGAGTATAATCTGCTTATAAAGACAATCTTGTCCCTCTGGTAGTCACATGTGTTGCCTGAAACCCCAAAACATCAACAAGATGCCTGAAACAATGTGTTTGCCAAAACAAATTATCGTGGGGTTGATTTTTTCCTACTATCTGGCCGTTTATTTCTGATCGAGAAAAAAAAATTAACTTTCATTAAGGCGACCGTATTGGATGATTTCCTTGTACGTGCTCGAGACAATAACAACAGTGACAATATTTTGCAGATTGATATTCGGTTTACCTTGGTTGCATTGCAGCTTCCCAATAACACGTAATTGGCTACGTCCGCTATACAGTTTTTTTAGACGTTTCTGTGTATTTTTCAGTTTACTGATCGAGTAATGACATTCTGCGAAGATATCTTCGATTATCTGAGATACTGTATATTTCGCGTAGAATATATTTTTTACGAGTGACGAGGGCAGGAACATGTGTCAATGTTTAAGGACAATGACTTTTTGAGATATCTCTTTCGAGTGAAAAGTCAATCCCTTTTAGAGATATAACAAGTTGCGTAAAACAATCAAAGTGCATTCATAGCAATCTACATCCGCTACATTCCTGAAATTATAATATTTACCCAGATTGTAAAACCCGTTCAAAATTGAAATAACTAGTAACAATGATGGTGTGTTTTAGTTAATGATCCTCAATGTGCGATTTGGTTGGGTAAGCCTAGAAGGTGTACTCTCCTGTGCTGGATATCCTACCTAGGAGTTTGCACTCTATTGTACAGATGCAGTTTCTCCCTAGTAATGATTATCCCGATATAACCAATGGATAAAAAAGGCGGACAAGAGTTCAATCTTTCTTGAAATGTATCACAGTTTTGCAAACAAATTCTTTTAAAGTTTAAGAGACCGTACACTTTATATCCCTTAACTCTGAACATTCAATTCACGCGAATTTACTTTACTAGTGCGATTTCTTAAAATATGGCCATCACTTTAAGTGTAAGTTAATGCAACAGAAGGTAAGCCCATAACCTTTACATTTCCATCTGTGAAATGTAACAAATCTTAATGAAAGTGTATTTTACCAATCCTCGTTTTACATCACGCGAAATTGTCAGCTTATTTGAGAATTTTGAAAGGTGTTATTTCAAGTGAACATAATGAGAAGATAACATTGTACATAAAACGTAATTGTACATGGAACATGGCTTGGGAATACTCGGAAAAGTCCCGTGTCGGACTTTCGACCTGGAACCTTGGTCAAATTGACCTGACACCCTTTTCGTCAACATGACACTTCTATGGATCATTTTCAGGGTCCGTATGACCCGGAGAAATATCATTTTGATCCGGAGAAGTATCATTTTGCCCCGGAGAAGTGTCATTTTGACCAGAAGGAGTGTCTTTCAGTGTCATTTTATTTCGGAGAAGTATCATTTTGACCTGGAGAAGTATCATTTTGACCCGGAGAAGTGTCATTTTGTATCGGATCAAATATGACCTGGATTCCGAGACAAATTTGACCCAGGCCCTTTTAGATTACAGTGTATGTGTAAGTAATTATTCGATTGAAAGATTTGTAAATTTTTGGATGTTTTGTTAATGAAAAGGCGCCTTTTAATTGAGTCTTATTATGCGGATTATGGCGCTTTATAAATATACATTATTATTATTACATGTGGTATTATTATTATTATTATTACTTGTTTTTGATCACAAAACTCACAACCTATTACACTACATTAGAGACACACTCTTGGAAAAAATGCCTGGTTAACGTATTCTTTATGATGGGACTTGCGGTTTTGCTTAATCATTTACTGCCAGCAACTTTGTGAAATTTTTCCGACATATTAAAGATGTCACAGCAATTGAGCGTGATCGGCTGACTGATAAGGTTTACGCACAAAACTCTCGGCCAGTGAGGAGTTGCATAGAAAGCTGGCTGAACCACTTTTTGCGAAGGTGTGCCGGTAATGGAGCCTGCCGGTAATGCTGAGCCTGCATACTGCCAAATTTACCAATGGCATCCCTACATTTTCTCGTGCAAATAGGACCCATTTTTGGACCCTAATTTTATCAAATCTGCTCTTAGATAATAGCCCAAAAGCTAGGGAGATGATCCTTTGCTGTATTCGCACGATTCCACCGATTTTGAAACTAGACGGTCTCGCTCTTTACCAAAAATTGTGGGATCACTTTCTATGCAATGACTCGCGTAGAAATTTTTGAAACCCTTATCAAAATTATTGCGCCCGCTGTCGGTCTAATTGCGCCATTCTGATATATCGTCTGTCTGCCCCCCTCTCCCACCACACCGAAAAATAATAGTAACTAAATACTGTTTGAAAATGTGCTAGTTTATTCAGAAATTCATTAAGCATAATATCCAAGCTGATTGGATGTTTCCAAAGTGTCTATCCCATTTGAACTTCTTTTTAAAAGCCCATAACCATTTAAAATGATGTGACTTGCGTTTATCACCAAGGATTAAATTCATGTCGTGTGAAACACCTTCATGTGGTTTAGATTCCACGGCGAAAAGCGTGGCATCACTGTGGCCTGCTACGCTAAGTAGGACTGACGGTCACAATTATTATGCTGCAGACTATTGCGGATCCGAGTCCTAATAATGTACATTTCTTCCCCCAGAAGTGAAATTTCTGACTAAAATTGTGTTTAATCAAATCCTAGTGGTCTGCGAAATACATTTAATTTGTTTGTGATTCATGGCTATGGAGGAGTTTTTTAAAAGGTACCTCAAGTCCGAAAACTATTACGTTGCCAGCTGACGCATGCGCATTATGGTCATTGCCTATACTTGGTTACAGAAAAACAAATTGCGGTGGGGACGAGCGAAGAAATGGCGTCGTTAAACAGCGCCCTCATGGCTGTGTGAGTTCCCTTACCTTGCACAATAGATTCACTCCAGTCAGACGTACCGACTTCTCCACTGAACTGAAACTTGGCCGGTCCTTCCGTGTATTCAAAGGTCTCTAGGGGAATGTAATTACACAGACAGAGAGAGGGCAATTTACCTACATCTGTCACACTGATTATCACTGGGACCGGTCACGTCCGAAGTATTCCATCAGTTGAGCCAGACTAATAACCTTGTTGGCCTGCAGATAGCATATGTTTTAAACTTCATCTCAACATGTCCATTTGCAAATTTATCCATGCCGCAAATACGAAAATATAAATCTTCAAACGAACTTGAATCCTCTATCCTGATTGGTCGATGCATGGCAACAACAGTGGGTTTTTCATCCAGCTTTGACCTTACAACAGGCTGATACACAGTATCTGTACCGCAACTGCGCCTGCTGCTTGTGTAAAAAACAAAGGAACTGCGCATGGGCACGGAGTAGATCCATTAAGCCCCACCCAAATTGTGTTCTGACCAATCACAGACGTGATCTATTTCCGACGGGCGTGCACAAAAGCCGATGCGCGCGGCTCGAAAGTACAGTGTACCATTGGATGATTGGGGAGGCACATGTTAACTGTCGACGTGCGCGCAATGGGCGAGACCGTGACCATTATCATGTTGCGGCCATCTTGATTTTTTTCTCCATTCAAATCAACGTAACCAAAGTGAGCTGGAAGGAAAAATAGTCTGATTCCTTTTTGCACAAAAACCCCTTATCATCCAACACTGTTATTGGATACAGGAACATGACTGAAATGGTGGCAGAATGATAAAGGTCTATTGGGTTAGCCCAACTGGAACAGTCCTAACTTAATAAGTCGCGATCGGACCGATGTTTTGTAGTTGGGGCGTAACATCTTAACTTTGTAGGCTTACATTTATTTGGTTATCCAGATTATTTTTTTCATGCAGAACACTGACAGACACTAAGCTTACCTAAATACACGCCATCTTCACTTTCTGATTTGCACGCCTGGCACTTTGTGAGGGCGTCGTTGCATGTCATATTCTTGACGTAGAATTTCTGGAGATTTGATTGGAAATAAATTCAGAAAGGCTTTATCATTGATACACAAATAGTGAAATAAGATAAAATTGTCAAACACTGACAAAGCCGGCCTGACTTGCTTTATCGAAGTGTGCAAGGGCAGACATAACATAATAAAGCTGGTCCTAGAGCACACAAATTTATCTTCAATTGGTTCGAAATTGCTATTCAATGGGGGTCTTAATTCATGCGTCTTGTCTACACAATTGGTCGGACTGCGCCCAATCATTGGTGTTGCTTATCATATACGATAGCACTGCCACATAGTCAAACAGATGGGTAGACACAGAGGACAATAGGCTCGCACTTTGGGACCAGCAACACGTCTTGGCAGGGGAGGAAAAGCTACAATTATCGTTATATTTAATGAGATGACCATGACATTGGCAACCTTATAAGAACGATACAGCCGGCTAAAGTACCGGAAATATTGACAAATTTGCAAATGGCTGTAGCTGTAATTCAATGTGTTCAATTAACTTCGCCTTTTGTATACATCATTAAATGGGATGTTTGCAATTGCAACTCACAACCCCGATCTTTCTAATTCTGCATAATTGTTGATATTTTTTCAAACAAGGGATGGAGTCCGTCACAATTTAATCCATGGCCAGTCACAAGTCTATTCACAAGTTCATTCACAAGAAACGCGGATGAACAATAGTAAAGGAATGATGCTTTTGCCTGAGCTCATCCAAAATGTTTGCGAGACGAATAGGACTGGAGGACTTGACATGGACTCGATACATCCCTTGGCCTTGTTCAGACTAGTAATTATATTCTGTATAAGATCACCATTCGCCCGTTAAAGTTAAGGTAACAGAATTTAAAATAAATGGCTTTGAACCAAATGGAAGGTTTTTACCATGTCCGCACGAATAGGACCGCTGTTCCCTGCTTCCCAGACAGCATTGGTGTTGCTGAGTAGCACCAAAAACAACACCACGAGGTTCAACATGTCGACAAGATCAATGTAGCTCCTTTTCGGTGTTTTGCCAAATATTTCTTCACTCACAGAGCTATCTTCTGTCTCATTATTTATGGTTGGAAACACAAATGACCTTATCCATACGTGTTTGTGTTTTTATTACTTTATAGGCTGAATTATATCCCGTTTTACATGTTATGAATAATTTTTCGCAATTCATGAATCTAAAATGTATTCCCCGAAGGTTCAATTTGGGTAGTCTTCCACTGGGAAGTATCAATAAGTCGGTTAGTCTCTCCTTGAGTTACTCACATTCAAGCATCAATAGCAGGAATGGACCAGGTTTGACTGAGATACGCCATCATTGATTCATAGGTTTCTGATCCATGGATCTATAAAGGGGGGTATATACATCCATAATTCCAGTCTCTATCAGCCGATTGAACTATTCTTATTCTTGCTTGTTGCTGGTACACACACAATACATGAACATGGCATAATTATGAATAATTCTTATAAATGAAAGGCTATTCCACCGATAGAGTGGACATTTTATTGAAATTATATTTAAATAGCAATAACTCGAGTTAATTAATTTTGTGATCGGGATAGTTGCGGGTACACTACTCCGACAATTGGAGCAACCTTTTTTTATTTCAGAAACAATGCCCACTTGTCTCCTGGACGCCATACCTGGGGTGCGTAAATTTCACTCGTTGGCACACAAACGTACGTTAGCCCCAATGTTTTATGTAGTTAAATGCCATCGAAAAGCTGATAGCGGCGCCCTATGAATGAAACTGCGTAGTAGCATCTTTTTTAATCTTTCAAAATGGTATTACGGCAAGAAGTGAAATGTTGCCACTGTGTGGTTACGACGTTGGAATTTCGGCCCGACAGCTAACTGTATGTGAGACACTCATCTGGGAAAATTCGCTAAAACAGTTGACATTTCTTCACCAATGGGAGACTTTTGAGACACTTGGTGGCAGCAGGCACACCGGTCCTTCAAGTTCAATTGTTTGCGTCATGTTTGCTATTTTCACCATGACATGATGCGCATACTCAACATGAGGTATATAAAGAATAGAAAGAACAGAAAACGACCAGTCTCGGAAGTGTTTGCTGCCGCCAAGCGTCTCGAAAGTGTCCGCTGACACCAAGCGTCTGAAAAGTTCCCCATTGCTTTTAATTACTTTTTGCAAAGGTTGGCAACATAAAGAACCTGCAGTGTATTCATCGCAAAAAAAAAACCAATCCGAATTTAAGTCGCTTTGAATTGAAACAATATAAATCACTCTTTGTGGAGACGATAACTTAAGAAAAACACATTGCATTGAAATTGAAATATCGTTCAATAAATAGTCGTGATATTATATGACGTAAAAAGAAAAATACAGTATTAATCGCGAAAGATTCAATCCGAATTATATTCACAAACAAAAGTAAAACACTCTTTGTGGGGACGATAACTCAAGAAAAACACATTGCATTGAATTGAAATTTCGTCTTAGATTCGTAATATACGACACAAACATTTGAAAATTGACGGAAACGGTTGAAGAATACATTAAATATGATTTAAAGAAAATACACAGTATTTATTGCGAAAAATTCAATCTTAATTCAAGTCACTTTTAATTCAGTGAACAACTTCAAAGTAAAACACTGTGGAGACTATAACTCAAAGAAAACATAATTGCATATTTCGTCTCGATCGCCGGTGATATATGACACGTGCGACTGGTTTTAAAACTGACGGGAACCGTTGAAGAATAAATTTATTATGATTTTAAGAAAATATACTGTATTTATCGCGAAAATTTCAATAAGAATTTAAGTCGCTTTTAAATGAACAAAAGTAAACCTCTTTAATTGTGGGGACGATAACTCAAGAAAGACACATTGCATTGAATTGCAATTTCTTCTAAAGATTGGTCGTGATATGTGACACGACTGATTTAAAAATTGAATGGGAACCGTTGATGAATAAAGTAAATACTATGGAAGATTAACGCTGTAAAAGAATACTCCTTGTCTTTATTTTTGACACATAGTTGTCCCTGTTTCCATCATTGGATTTCTGAAAATATAAGACTGAAAATACAGAGTTAACTAACAAACGCTACCAAAGACTAATAAAAATCCCTCTTTCTATATTATGACGGTATAAATATGCAATTATTGGCAAAATTTGTTGCCCGTCACGGCTTAAAGGCCATTGTGACATGAGCCTGGAAGGTTACGAGCAATGCGTACAACAGTAAACTTATCAACTCCAAGACTTTGCAGTAGCGCCCTCGAGCGTTCATGATTTCATCCCAACTCTCTCTTGGTAGGCGAGTGAGGGGGTATTTGCTTAAGTTTGGCTTTTGCTAATTTTCTAACCCCAGAATCACGTAAGAACAGTCAGTAGTACTCAAACCAAACTGATACATTTAAACATTGGTCATAAATTATAAGCTTCAATGTTCCTCAGTAAAAACATTTAGGCCCTACCAATATTTCACCAAAGGGAACAGCAAATAATCAAAAGAGCCTAAACTGAAAGTGAAGCCGAGCTTTGAAAAATTCTACCTCCATGCTTGGATCTAGTACCCTCAGTATTTTAGGTGCTAGGTACATCGTGGTTGAAGGGAACCATTCTGTACACGACATGCTGGTGTTTATTATACAACGTCGTTCCCATAATGTCGAAGCATTACGCTCCCACCCCTACATTCTATCAGAAACAAGGACGAACATAAAGTAACTCCTGGAGACGAGGTTGGCTTAACATATAATACGTATACACATGTACATGTACATGCAAGGCCTCGAGCTTTAAAAATCACTTGGGATTTTCACGTTTTCTGTTTATTTACTTTTCAATTATCACAATAGTTATTCGACGGAGTCACATTTATGATATAGCTTCGTATGTTTTGCTGAAATGTCCAGGAAGAGCATGAATTCGGTGGTGTGTTTTCTTTCGTTGTTTTGTATCGTGACGTGGACGATATTTGCACCAGTCGGTGCCACGTCTACGGGGCCACGCGGCGGTTTGGACCGTAGGATACGGAGCCTGGCTCGGCGGGATGCGACCACCGCGGCCGGTGCTACTTTACCAGACCCGGACTTTTTCCTGCGTGGAATCGTTGATAAATTCGGACGGGACGGGCAACTGGACAAGGAACAGCTGCAGATTTTGTTACAAAGAGTGAAAGCACAGGTTTGTTGGGCATATTTGTTGTTGTTGGGGGAAAAATGAAAATTAATTTTGAAATTTTAAGTTCAGTTTTATTTTATACTTTCAGCCCCATAACTTTATAGGTAACAGGTCATCTCGTACCTTGGGCAACTCGTACCTTGGACAACTCGTACCTTCAACTCGACGTCATTATACCGAGTCGTACCTTGGACAACTCGTACCTTCGGCAAGTCGTACCTTCAGTTAAGACGACTCGTACCATCACGCGTAAGACAAGTCGTACCGTCAATCAGGATAATGATCCGAGGCTGAATAAAGTGGACCGTAACTCATTGGAAGTGGACTGCTTATTAAAATAAAGGTGAATCTCTTTTTGGTATGGGGTCTCTTTCCCCGGGCCCCCAAAAAGAGGAATTTATCGCCAAGCCGGCCGCGGCAGCTTACACGCACTGTGTGCGCGGCATGCACAGGCCCACGCGGCATCCGTGCAAAGTGACACGGTTCTTGCGCCGCGCTGACCGGTCAATATGGACGTCTGTGCACGGTGACATTGATGCAGTCTGCCGTTACGTTTAGAGACTTAGGCTACGTGAAAATATTATGGAACTGATGTTTTTATCCAAGATTCACGTCTTACCATCATTTCTACAATGAATGACCATCATTGAGATGATATATATATGAAGAAAAAAGTGGCCAAACCCCCGCCCCCAATTTGTACTAATGTTTCGAATAAACCAGTTGATGAATAAACCAACTGTGAATTTTTTTTTTTACATTTTAGACTTTCAGACTTATAGCTAGGAAAGGACTGAATCATTTAAAAGTACTGACTGCTCTTGTATACTTTGGTTATTAGACTTCACAAGAAAACGCAGAAATTACTTTATTTAGACACATTAAATGTTTAAATTTGATTTTTATAAATTTTGTCGGTTGGTTTTAATAGAGTTTAATAAAGCTCGCTCTGGAAACAGGATGTTACGGTGGTTAGGCTGTATTGCATAATTAAACCACACCAAATCCGCATCTGAAGTTTCTCCACTACAAAATTCAATAGATGAGTGACACTTCTATAGATGAGTGACACTTCTATAGATGAGCGACGCTTCAATAGATGAGCGACACTTTGGGTGTACATGTACTTGTTAAACCGCCGGCCGCTTCCGAGTCACCGGCATCGGTACCGCGCACGACCGACCGCTGCTCGCGCCCTCGGAGGCCGGCCCGCCAGGCCCAATGCGTAAACTAATGCTGCCTGGCAAAGCCATTAGATCTTGAATGTGGTTCTGTGAGAAGGAAATTAACTTTGACTTGAAAAGAATCGTATCGTTTGGGAGTCAAGGAACCACACACTAAGTCGCGCACGTACAGTGTACATGTACTCTACTTTTTATTCTGATGGTACGAGTCGTCTTAATTGAAGGTACGAGTTGTCCAAGGTACGAGTTATCCAAGGTACGAGATGTCCAAGGTACGAGTTGTCCAAGGTACGAGTTGTCCAAGGTACGAGTCGCCCAAGGTACGAGTTGACTCGAAAGCACTTTATAGGGCGGTTATGCGGTTTTAGGGCCCTTCTTCGGTTTTGCATAAGTTGGGGTCAAGCATGTCAAGAGTGTATTCCAAAATGTTTTCGGCAACCTAAACCATCAGACCATGTAAACAGGCTTCGTTTAATTCTAATGACACAAACACAGACTATATTTTGTAATTTTGGTAGAAAAGCTTCTTGTGTAGTGTTTTGCCATCTTGTTGGGACTAGGCGTACATGAACATGATGAAAAAAAATAGTTCTCCGGAAACTTCTATAATAATATTAATAGTTGTTCCGAAAATATTGAATATTGGATCATCAATATAATATTCAAATAGCTTTTTGCCAGTTTGAAAAAGGAAAGCAGCTTCAGCTGGCGTGTGTTCGAATATTCATTCAAGTGCATTTTCAAACTAATATAATATTGAATATTCGAAAATGGACAGCCCAGAGCCCTACATTTTTGCGAAAAAAAAACTCTCAAGCGTTTCTCTGGCACTATTATTATCATCTTTATTTTTGTGTACTGTTTCTAAATATTTATTCAAAACCTTCCTGCTTCCCAAACATTCCTGTTGCTTTTCAACATCACCGTCTATTTTGGTGAATCCAATAATGTTGAAAGCGGACTTTTCATTCTCTTAACGGAACAGGCTCCTAAAATGCACTTTTACCGGGGCCATATCATAAGTCCAACGCCTCACAGTTTTTCAATTCAATTCAATTCACTTTATTTTCCACATAAAAAAAAGACAATCAGAGTTAAATATATACAAAATATGTGGATGGGGATCCCTAAAAAGCAGGTCCGACGCCTCATATTAAGTCTGAAATTTTGGACTTATGAGGCGTCGGACTTATGAGGCATAAATTCCGCCTCTTAGGTTTGACGCCTCATAAGTCCGACACTGAAGTCCCACAATGGATAAACACTCTTTCTGAATTATGAGGCGTCTGAGCTATGATGAGGCGTCAGACTTATGCGGTGTCGGACCTATGAGGTGGAATTTATGCCTCCTAAGTCCGACACGTCATACATGTAAGTCTGACGCCTCATAAGTCCGAAATTTCAGACTTATGAGGCGTCGGACCTATGAGGTGTCAGACTTATGAGAAAAGAGTTCCAACAAAGAAAAACCTCAAATAATGTTCATGACTTTTCTTTTTGTTACGTATGTTTCCCTTTGTGTGTAGTGTTATTCAGTAGATGACCTTCTCAGCATACACTCACTGACTGAAGAGCGGTTGCTGAATGATACCAGTGACGTATTATTGAGTTTGTGCCCGACGGTGTTGTACCAGAGTGCATCTGACGATTGCTCGGATCTTGAGACTGAGTCTGGAGAACGTCAACCACCAACTCTTGCTCAAGGTACACTAGTCTTGGGCAAAGACTGAACTTGTTTTTTCTCGTAATGCAGCAGATTGCGATCCCAGTTGGTGTGGTCGAGCTGCCACTACAGCATGCTACAGGCCGTCAAAAAACCTCAACAAATCCTCAAGTGCCCTCTTTTTACAGCTTTATAGCCTAAAGCCTAAGTCAAATTATTTTGATTTGTCCATAAACCTTAATTTGTTTATAGCTTTAATTAACCCTAACATGCCTAATCGCCCTGAATCCTTCAAAATCCTCTTTGCCAAAGTGGAGGAATTTAGAGGATTGAGGTTAAAATTGCAGAAGTGCGTTACTGATTTCGTAGGATGCACTTTGTCAAGGTCTTGGGCTGGACCTTGTGTTGTATTTGCTCAGCCATGCATAAATATAGGCCTGGATTATGCTTGAAATCCTCCGTACTGCTCCAGGATGTCACTGGCCAAGCCTCAACATATTGACAGTCACCATGGTCACTGCCGCAAGATTTTGAAGGATTCAGGCAGTGGTCACCCCTCCCGGACCATATTCAAGAAATAATGGAGGAATTTGCAGGATTGAGGCTACATGCTATTTTTCCATGAGGCCAATTGCAGGATTTTGCAGGATTTGAGTTGTGGCTATTTAAACAAAGGTATTGCTTTTTCATTTTGATTGCCGCAATGAGAACATGAGCCGAAAATTGCATCCATGAAAGAGACAACCAAGTAGAGGGCAGAGCAGAACGGTAAACATCTAAGAAGTTAAACAAAACTATCCTATTCAGCATGTTCAGGACTACTATTTCTTCTGAAAAGAGAAATGAAATTTGTTGCAAAAAATAAAAAAGTGTATATGTAAAAGAACCAAATATGTAAAGAAAGATTAAAAATTTAAAGAATGAAAAACTACCGTCACCTCAAATCCATTACATTCCTAAAATGACAATTAAGATGATGGATAAAATGAAAAGGCTGCACTTTTTTGTATTGGCCAACTCAATAAAAAAAAGTTCTGTGTGCAGGTGTGGGAAGATTTTTTTTGTGCTGTAAAGTTGATAATGAACTATACTTATCAAATAATGTATCAATATTTCTGATGCATTTAAAAAAACCTGTGACAAAGAGGGTGCAAATCGCATAACATGATACAGAGCGCGTGACACAGCTTTTTTTTATCAATGTCTATGAGGCGCAACGAGTGAATGACCAAAGACCCGATATATAAAGCGCCCACTGATTGGTCAAAATCTAAAAGGTCAAGAGGCGGTACCTTGCATAATTAATGTTTTATTCGTAATGTATTCACAGTATGCGGCTACAGTGTCCTCTTTGTGACACTCGTCAACCTTGTTGTTGATTTTCATGTTGTTTTTTTATTCATAACTTATGCACAGCATGGGGCTACAGTGTCCTCTTTGTGACATTCATTAACCTGGGTGATGATTTTCATGTTTCATGTAATTTATTCATAATATATGCATAAGTTATTCACAGTATGGAGCTACGGTGTCCTCTTTGTGACACTTATCAACCTGGGTGATGATTTTCATGTTTCATTTAATTTATTCATAATTTACTCACAGTATGGGGCTACGGTGTCCTCTTTGTGACCATCATCAACCTGAGTGCATTGATGGGTGCTTTCATCGTTCCTTGTATGAACAAGAAGGTGTACAAGCTGATCCTCACCTACCTGGTGGGATTAGCAGTCGGCACACTGAGCGGAAATGCAATACTCAGTCTTATACCTGAGGTAAGTGGCTACTCTAAATGTAACCCTTCACCAAAAAATCAGCAAAAATTCATATTTTTTAAGAATAAAGATATTTTTATTCTGGATTCTGCAGAAAAAGAGCTCAGGCCTATTAATAACACTCGGGTACTTGGTTCGGTAACAGAAATACAGACCACCAAAAAGAAAAGTTGTTGAACTTATTTATGAAAAAAATGGCATTGAAAAATCCTGCTGTTGTTTTACAGTGAATGAATAGTCAAATAACAAAACGGGATAAAAACTTGTTTTTAAGATGTTAGATCTAACAAAAACAATTGGGAAATGTAGAAAAGGATTTACATATTGAGGTTCACCTGTAAAAAAAATGGACCAGCCCTTTACAATTTAGATTTGTGCCACTATACAGCCAGATGGCAATTTTCCAACTTCATGCTCATTTTGTGGTGACACTGACAGCAGGCATCGATTTACAGAAACAACTTTGGAAGATCTGCACTATAATAAAATTGTAAAGAATTCCTTATAGTCACGGTATGTTGCTTGCTTGTCATCCGGCAATGCCTAGAGTCCTGCCCATGCAGTCTGTCATGAGCCAATGGGCCCATCATATCATGCCGGCGTTTATCTCCAGTTTCAGTAGCATGAAACAAATGATATTTCTATTCCCCCTGGATGGGATGCCAGTCCATCGCAAGTTACTCCCAAGCTAATGCTGCTACCCATTTATACTCCTGGGTGGAGAGAGGCAAGTTGGGGTGAAGTTGCATGCCCAAGGATGCAACATATGACCAGCAGCTGGATTCGAACCCCTGACCCTCTGATCATGAGTCACAAACCCCAACCACTTGGCCACACTCCCCTATAATACCGAATACTGCAATATTGTTGTGGCGGTATACCGTGGACTCTCAAACTTGAATACCGCACAAGCCTAATGGTTGCTATTTTCCTACAGACCCACGGGATGTACGTCAGCACACATGGCCTGGGCTTTGTATGGAGAAACACCACAGTGATCGTCGGTATCTACTTGTTCTTTGTTGTTGAGCGTCTCCTCAAATTGGTCTCATCGCGAAAAGAACTCAAGAGGAAGAAGGTAACGAAGAAACAGTTTTAAGTTTTGAGGATTGTTTTATTTTTATTATTATTTTTGTCAATGCTACTCAAGTATTATAAAATGCTATGTACATGCAGTCTAGTCCAGTTTTCAATAAATAAGTTTCATCAGCAATTTACAAACTTGTACGTACATATGTAAGGTATGACTGGCATGGTTACCATGGTTACTGGTAATTTCTTTGCAATCAAGGACAGTTTGCATCAAGTGTAATTGATTAAGATCCAAAAATGTTAATTCAAATGTAAGAGTTTCATCAAGTGCGCACAAACATTTTATTACAAGATAAATATTCAAATTTATAAAAAGTAAAACTTTGTATATGTTGGGTAAAAAGTTAGCCGCAGTAAACTGAGGATTGACTTGAAGATGTACATTCACTTCCCATGCTCTTATACATGTACGATAATGGGGCACACATGTCATCAATGTGGGGTCAGCATTCCTGTCTTAATTACTGTTTATATTCAATTTCGCACTGTCTTTGCAAGATGATACATCTGGACAGTACCTGGTAAACTAGTAAATCGAAAGGTCAGGATGAATCTCCGGAGTACGTGAACTTAAATACATGTATGCTGAGTGTACTGAAAGGGATCATGACATAAATTTTACCCAGAAACATATTTAGTAGTCATTTCTAGTTCCCTGAAATGTACAATGTATGACAACTATGAGACATCTCTTTTTGCTTTTTTTTTAAAGTGCACTTCTTTAAACATTAAAAGTATTTCAACATTAAAAGTTGATGTTAGACATAAACAAAATTAGTCACATTCATGACGTTTTATTGTTTTTTTAGGAGTCATGTCTGTATTATTGCTGTTTAGAATAGTGGGTATCTATAAAGCGCACATATTCACCAGGACTGGTGCTCAAGACGCTACATGTACATCATTATTACCCCTGCTCATTGGGCCCATGAATCTTTCCAAACACCATCTCAGCTCCCTGGGGAATATACAGCTCAATGTTGCCATTTTGGTGCAAATAACCATCTCTGCCCTCACAGGTTCCCATTTACTCCTGGGTGGAGAGAAGCAATGAGTGACAAAGTGCCTTGCCCAAGGGCACACGCACCATGACCTTGGGCTGGACTCGAACCCACAACCTGCAGCTTTACCCGCAGACCACAAATCCAATGCCCTTAACCAAGTTTGTCAGGTTTTGACATTGCTTGATTGAGTTGGACAGCTCTTCTGCATTGTCCTTTTAGTTTTTGTCAAGAATTCTGTTCTTCTTTTCTATTTGTATAGAAAAAAGAGTCGTCTGATGAGTTGGCAGACATGCAGGTGACTGCAATGCACGACATGACCAAACACCACGACATCTACAAGATAACATCGGGAGACAGCGCTATGGGGAACGGCTTCATCAATGCTGAGGAGGAATCCACAGAAGACAAAGATGAGGTATATAAATTCAACTTGGTGTTACCATGACAACTGATTAGTTGGAATTAGGGTCTAGTGCGAAGTGGCCAGTTCATGCACCTATCATACTGTAGCCTTGTGTGAATGTGAACGTGTATTGAAATCCGTGATATCATGGCAGGTTGTTACTCGTCAATTTTGCAAAAGTTACATGACAAGAAACACAATAAATTGAGCCACTTGTCTACTGTCACGTTAGCAGTTTTCTTCAGTGGTTGTGATTTTTTTTGTTAAATACCTGAAACCACCAAAGACGAATTTCAACACATGAATGGACATGCAGCCTTTCGCTAACGATGATTTGAGTTGATTATTTATATTGCTTTTTGACATTATCCTAAAATTTCCATCAAAAAGTGGACATAAAACTTACGTAACTTTTTCTGTCCATTTTCGACATTTGAGGGTGATTTTAAAACTTAAAATTCACATTTCAAAAACTTTTTGGGTGGTTTGTGGTACTTGAAAAAAATTACAACCATTGGAAAAACTGCTAACGTGACGGATGCAAAGTGGTCCCCTTCATTGTGTTTCTTGTCTTATTATTTTTATACTTTTAAGATTTTTGAGTTTCACAATGAAAGAATAATTTATTGCTGTTCGATGTACAATACTGGACAGTTCTTCAAGCAAAACATGAGAAATGGAGCTCGTAGTGCATGCCTTTCTCCTTCATTTGGAGTACTTTTTTTACTTCCTTATTTATCCAGAAGGAACAGTTTTTATCAATTGGTCCAAACGCTGGATTCCGACGATTAGGAAATATTGAAAACGATGAACAGCAGAGCACACAGGTAAACCCTGCACTGTAGCTACTAACAGTTGATAGTCTTTGTTCAAGGCTGCATTTATTTTTTCATCCCTGAATGCAGATAGTTCCTGGTCTTGGGAAATTTTGGAACTCCAACCCCAGATATTTTGAGTACAAGTACATATATACCTCATGTGCTTGAGGTACATAGTACATGTATCTATGCTTAGAGATTTTCGGGTCCTAGTGCCAACGTTCCCCAGACTGCACTTTTATCTTGTTGGTAGCGCCCTCTATTGTTGCCTAGGCACAACTTCACTGACACCAACTGCACAAAAACAAAGGCAGCCTTGAACAAAGACTGGTATTTTCACTGATACTAACCCGCAGCTAAAGTGATTACGCGCCGTAGCTAAATGGCTCAGAAGGTCTCTCACTTGTTGTCCCTTCTGTTCGCACCTTCACTCGCAGCACACGTTGTGCAATCTCCTCGCCTCCCTTCACTGTATCTGCTCCAAAGGCCAGTTCCGTGAGATATTCTTCTACATGTAGCTTTTTGTCCTGCTACTGCTGCACTGTAGAACTCCTTACCTGAATCCTGTTTTCCACCAACTTATAATCTATCCCAGTTCAAAAGAGATGTCAATAAATATCTTGTCTCTCTGTAACTTTTTACTTTATTTTTTCCTTTGTAGCCCGCTCCTTGCGTGGCCCTCTGGCTTTGTGATAAGCGATTACCAATAAAAACAACTGTTAGCAGTATACTTGGCCGTTGATTTTACTCAATAAATTTGCGATCGATTTCACAAAACTTGGTGTAGCTAGGCAACGATTTCAGTAATCTCAACATCTTGGACGAGGATAATAACACCATATACGACAATTGTTTGTGTATGATTTTGTTAGTTCATTAAAGTCGTTGCATCACCTCCGCCCGCCATTTTGAAACTATTTTTTTTTCTGACTTTCTTCGGAATGTTACGGTAACTTTAAAAACTCTGCAACAAGTAAAATGGAAATTCTTACACTTAAAAAAAAAGCTGTGTGTGTCTTGTATCAACCTTGATAAGTTGTGCAATAACAGGCTCCACCATGATCATGATTTACTGCTAAAAAAGGTCATTTTCAATGGCTACGCCACAACTTGCACCACCTAAAATGATTGCGCAAGTTACGCTATAATTTACAAGTGCAAGTCGCGGATTTATGAAATTGGCATAAATGAAATGTTGCACATCATAAAGTGTTGCACAACTTGCGCAATGAATTGTTGGCACATGTATGGATTTATGCCATTGCGTAAAGTTTCATGAAATCAGCTGCAGGTGTTGTGCTTGACTGCATGTTAAGTTCTTCAGTTGTATCATTCTATATTTCTTACTACAGGATGCAACAAAGACTCAGATTTCCAATGGTCATGGTCATTCACACATGGCCTTGACCGATGATGGTAAGGTCCGCATAGCCGCAGTGGCTTACATGATCATCTTCGGCGACGGACTGCATAATTTTGTGGACGGTCTGGCGATAGGAGCTTCGTTTTCAATCTCCGTATTCCAAGGAATTTCAACGTCTGTAGCTGTTATCTGTGAAGAGTTTCCTCATGAGCTAGGTGAGTGTAGATTTTGCAGGTTGTACTGGAAAACACAATTCCCCAAAGCACTGATCGTTATACTGACTTGATATTATGTAAAGATCACAGGCCATATAATGTGAATGCTATCTTGAGAACACCGCTGTGTTGAAATCTCCTACATCCAAATATTCATCTTTTTGTTCATGCATGGCTTTCCGTATACCATAGATGCCACAATCACACAAAAGCTGGGAGTGTGGCAGAGCGTGAATAAACGTGAACTAAAACCTCTTTACCAGGTCCTCATAATCTAACCTTAGTAGTGAGGTACCTTAGTGAAAAAATCGTGACACAGTGGACAAAAGCACAATTTTTTCACCAAAGCATCTCCATGGTATACCTTTTCGAAAAAAAGACGGACGCAAAAAATTGGATGATGGGAAGGGCATGTATGACGTCATTATGACGTCATCCGCTAATTATTACATGAAAAAAATATAAATTGATAATAATCTTCAGAACTACATGTACAAGCATTATTACAGCAACAAATGTGGTATCAAATTAAAGGGGACAGCAAGCTCTTTCATATGAGTGGTATGTCATGGGGATGGAATATAGTTAAGGGTGATTTTGTGGGTCAAAAAAACCTTTTTTGGTCAAAAGACATGTTTTTTAGGCTAAAATCATGGATTTTGGGTAGTCAAATTGACACTTTGTTTAAATATGCAAACAGTATGTGGTATTGTGAGATGTTGTTTTTAAGTTCGAGAGAAAAATTCAAATTCTATGCCAAAACAAGAGTTTTTGTAATTGATTATTAGTATCATAAATATGTTTAAACTTGTTCCAAAGATAAGCGGAAAAGTGAGGCATCTTATTATTATTATTATTATTATTTATTTGACCTCAACAAAGAATTACAAACATTGATACAAAACCAAACAAAAATTACACAAAAGTGGTTGAAACGCACAACAAAAGAATCGTATAAACATGTAATTTAAATTTAAATTAAAATTTAAATTATTAAAAAATCATGAAGTAGAGGGCATGCACTTTAAATGACAGCTGGAGTGGGCTTCCCAATTGGGAGTTGAACAATAACCAGTAAGACACAAAAAATCACAAAGAAAACGATTATGTGGGTCAGGGACCGCAAAAGCGAATCTAATCACTGTTGCTCGGAAGCATGCGGACCCGCACATAATGACAAATGAACAGGACAAAAAAGGCAAACAAATACGCAAGAACAAGATTACAAATGGCAGGGAAATAACACAATAAAGGGAAGCCCGAAGATTAAACTTAAGATTAAGTAAATTGCGCTATAATGTGAGCTGGTCATGGAAGTGTGTCTTGAGACTGGCTAGAAATGAGTTTAGTCAATTAAGCACTGCAGAATCCCGTATTGAAGTAGGTAAGTGATTCCAGAGTCTAGGAAAGCAACGGGTTGGTGAATGGAATAAAGCATCAGTACGAGCAGGAAGGTCAAGAAATGTGAGGATGTTTGGATGACGTGGATTAATATGAAGGTTCTCATGGACGTATTCACAGTGTACTAGACCGTATAATACCTTGAATACAAATGAGCACAGAATGAAATTTCTTCTGGAAGTGAGCATGGACCAGTTGAGCCGATGGAGTCTTTCCTCATATGGCATTTCCCCCCTCCGCTGACCTAGAACAATACGGGTAGCTGTGCGTTGAACTCATTCAAGCTTTTGTTGATCAGCGGTGGTACAATGTTATAGTGGAGCTGCTAAGCGAATAAACATGCACTTTGTGGTAAAAGCATGAAATTTGGCATGTGGGGTCAAAATGGGCTAAAAATCATTTTAAGATCGGGACCCATCCTGGATCTTGCCCATTTGGGGGGCGGAGCTTGATTTTTCAAAAAGGAGAGTGCAAAAAAAGAAAACTCAGAAAACTGTATTTTACATTCACTTTGTTTCTCATGCTTTGAAACAAAGTGGATGTAAATTCTAACATTCTAACGTGTTATTTTCACCCTTTTGCGGGCGTGGCCTAAATATGTAAAGAGGCGGTACATTGGAGCAGCTTGATTCAAACGAGGGAAAATCATCATTTTTGCTGGTAAAAACACAACTTTTCCATCGGTTAACTATGTTTACCATACACTGTAAAGATAAGTTTAAACGGTTGCAAGACTAAATGTTGCCCTTTAGGGGTGGAGCTACATTTTAAAGTAGGCGGCTATAAAAAAAAATCATATCTAAATTGTTATGATTGTCTACAAGTAACTTACACAGGGTGAGTCAAAAAAAGGAAACCCAAATGGCAGGACAAATTTTTTTAATGAAGTTCTGCATGTAGCACTATCAAAATCATATGAACTTCAAATTTGGTTTGTGTATTTTTCTTGGTAATCCTAAGAAGCCTATTGCATTTTGGGCTAAAAGGTCAAGGGTCAAGGTCACAGTGGCTAAAACAACAGAAATTTTGTCAGCGTGATAACTTGAGATATACTAAACATACGAACTTCAAATTTGGTTTGTAGATTGTCCTTGCAATCCAAAGAAGCCTATTGCATTTGAGGCCAAAAGGTCAAGGGTCAAGGTCACAGTGGCTAAAACAAAAGAAATTTTGTCAGCGCGATAACTTGAGAAATACTTTACATGTGAACTTCAAATTTGGTTTGTGGATCATTCTTGGTCAAGGGTCAAGGTCACAGTGGCTAAAACAATAGAAATCTTGTATTTATTCTGAGATCATAGGGATTAGGGATTAATTCATATAAAACCTACACGAACGTGTTTGCTTAATTTTCATTCATACAGATGCTAGTAAATGCTTCAAAATTGGAAGTAAAAGCAAATGCCATGTTTTATTCATACGAACATGGTATCATTTGTACTTTATGAACTTTGTTAATATTAATTTTTCGCGATTAACATATAATAAATGCTGTAGCTTTTGCGCAGAATTATTTGCTTTATAATTTCAAGGTTGCCCCAACCCAGCCTTGTGAATGACAAGTGCATATTTGAAATCTGAAGCATTTACTCCTTTATATTCATACGAAACGTACAGATGGGAGTAATGCAAATGCCAGTTTTTATTCATACGAACTACCGTATGGTATTATTTGTACTTTTTCGCGATTAACATTAATAAATGCAGTAATTTTTGCGCAGAATTATGTGCTTTTATATTTTCAAGGTAGCCCCAACCCAACCTTGAAATATGACTAGTAAATATTTAAAATTTGTAGCATTTACTCCTTTTTATTCATAAGAAACGCAGTAAACGCTTATAGTGTAGCAAAAGCTTAAAGGTAAAAGTAATTATTTTCAGAATTTAGGAAACGGTTTTTAGTAAAAGTGTTTGCTTAATTTTCATTCATACAGATGCGAGTAAATGCTTCAAAATGGTAGCAAAAGCAAATGCCATGTTTTATTCATACGAACATGGTATCATTTGTACTTTATGAACTTTAATAAATGCAGTAGTTTTTGCGCAGAAGTATTTTACTTTATAATTTCAAGGTTGCCCCAAACCAGCCTTGTAAATGACAAGTGCATATTTAAAATCGGAAGCATTTACTCCTTTATATTCATACGAAACGAAGTAAACGATAAATAAAAATTTTTCTGGTAATGAAACCAAGGATCCTCAAAAGTGCATGCCCCAGGCACTGTAGCTCGCAAACCCCGAAAAAAAACGTAGAGAGAAGACAATGAGAAGAAATTACAGTTTTAGAGGTGGGAGGAAAACCCCAGAAGAATAGTCTGGGGAAAACCCACGGAATCAGGTAGGGACTGAAAACCCAATCCACATGTAGACCATGGGTGCCAATGCACAGCGCATTGTGCACGTAAACGGCATTGCGTTCGTCGCGTTTGATGCGCTTTTTTTGTATCTGTCCTCCAGCACGTGACCCTCCCCGGTGCCGCTTTCCGTTTCGGTTACGATAGTTTTATTTTCTGCAAACTTATAAACATGTAAAGCTTTACATTTTGCAGGCCATTTACTCAAGAGCAAATGGTTTTTAGTAAAAGTGTTTGCTTAATTTTCATTCATACTGATGCGAGTAAATGCTTCGAAAGTGGTAGAAAAAGCAAATGCCATGTTTTATTCATACAAACATATGGTATCATTTGTACTTTATGAACTTTAATAAATGCAGTAGTTTTTGCGCAGAATTATTTTGCTTTATAATTTCAAGGTTGCCCCAACCCAGCCTTGTAAATGGCAAGTGCATATTTGAAATCTGAAGCATTTACTCCTTTTTATTCATACGAAACGAAGAAAACGATTATTAGGCCAAAAAAGGCTCTGGTTTCTGGTATGCGCGCGCGTCGCCATAGCCATGCGCGTCGGCAATGTAAGATGATGTCTTTCAATGTAAGATAATGTCTCATACCACCAAACTCACTGGTTCGACTGGAATCCTGCTGCTGCACAATTTTAACGTGTTATTTCTCATAAAGTTATTTCTCATGTCTAAGTTTATTTCAAGCATGAAGAACAAAGGAAAATGGATGTTAAATACAGTTTTTCTGATTTTTTTTATTGTTTGCACTCCCCTTTTTGAAAAATCAAGCTCCGCCCCCAAAATTGTGCAAGATCCAAGATGTGTTCACCTCTTAAAATTATTTTCAGCCCATTTTAACTGGCCAATTTTCAGGATTTTACTACCAAACCGAATAATGTTTTCCATATTAGAACCAAACTGCTAATATATACCGCCTCTTTTGTACATTTAGGCCACGCCCACAAAATGGGTGGAAATTAACTGGTGTTCGAATGCTAGAATGTTGTATTTTATGTTTAAGTTTATTTCAAATCATAGAAAAACAAGGAAAATGGATGTTAAATACGATTTTTATGAGTTTGTATTGTTTGCACCCCCTTTAAAAAAAAAAATCAAGCTCCGCCCCCAAAATGGGCAAGATCCAGGATGGGTCCCGATCTTAAAATGAATTCTAGCCCATTTGGACCCAACCTGCCAAATTTCATGCTTTTACCACAAAGTGCACGATTTGGGCCAAAAATGGACCTAAGCAGCTCCA